AATATAGTGAGTTTTCAGATCTGGATCGAAGGGAATATAACTGACCTGTGTAATACAGCTGGAAATGATCCCTATAAGTCGAGCACTGCACTTCTGGATTCGTACTTTGGCATGGGGCAATCGGTTCGCGATCTGCTTCCAGGATATGATTGCCCAGATGAGGCGATTTACCTCCCAGCTACCACTTTTTCGGCGACAGGGATGATGACCAGGAAGCGGGCGATATGTATCTTTGAGCAGGATAGCGGACGTCCTATATCAAGACATCTTGGCTTTGAGCGAAGTGAATTTGGTGCGGTCAAAGGTTACCAGTTGGTCATTAGGAGTATTGCCACCGTTGGAAAGTAAGTGGCATTATATCTGTGGAATGCATGCACTCAGCGTATTGCATTTAGCTATGATTACTGTGAGTATCCGTCTTCCAAGATTCGATTATTGTTGACATTTTTTAGTGGTAAGTGCTTGTTGCTCGGTTAGCGATCATATACTTACATGCGAGACCCTTTTTCAAGTTTGAATATATTTTCCACATCGATGGAACTATTGAGGTTCGTGTATCGGCGTCCGGATACCTTTTATCAGGGTTCTGGGATGACGAGCAAGGAGCTTACGGAAGCAAAATCTGGAACACCACTCGTATGCCGTCTCCCGGTACTCCCAACGCATGTCACTGATGTAAACAACCAGTTGGAAGCCTCCACGATCATGCCATCAACTTCAAGGTTTTGAGGAATCATATAACATACTTCATGGCTTGAGCTCTTTTTGCAGGTCGACCTTGACGTAGGAGGAACACAAAATTCGCTGTTGAAAACAAGTCTTAGCCAGGAAGTCACCACCCAGCCGTGGTTCGGCGATGACTGGGGCGAGGAAGTGATCCAACAAAAGATCACCCGTGAATACATCGATAACGAAGATGAAGCCCTGCTGAGATTCCCCACCAATTTCCAAGGAGGTTATACTATTGTGAACACTGACGAAATCAATAAATGGGGAATCCCTAGAGGATACGCAATCCATCCGGGATACTCGCCAGTTTATAATGTGCGCAAAACACATTGAATGTGCCTGTATTGTCTTGACAGGCGCTCTTCCAAGACCATCGTAGGATCTAAGCGTCTGCTAAAGAATGCCAACTGGGCACGTTATAACTTGGCGGTGTCTCGTCGCAAGGATACAGAGCCATCTTCCAGCAGCATGTGGAACTTTAACCTTCCAGGAGCTCCTCCTGTTGACTTCCACAACTTTTTTGACGGTGAAAATATTACTCAGCAGGATTTGGTAACCTGGATTAACGTCGGGATGCACCACCTAGTAAGTTCGCCTTCTAATATTTTGATGCAGAGCTGACCTATTCGGTAACAGCCTGCATCAGAGGATGTTCCGAATACCAGGACTAATACAGCCGCTTCAAGGTTAAATTATAGCCATGCATTGATACGACGTGCTGACTCCTTGCGTTATATAGTTTCTTCCTGACACCCTTTAATTATTTCGACTACGACGTTTCGATTGAGTCTACCAATGCCATACTGCTTCAGCCTCCAAAGAAGCCAGGAGACCCATTTTCTTATAATGATTATAATGTTCGACCAGCTCACTGTGTCCCGCAACCTCCAGCCGCATTCGAGTATTATCCGGAGCAGGTGTACGACTTGGATGGGAAACCTGCACCTCCCTCGACGGTGGAAGAGATGAGGAAGGCTTCAGAGCTCTACCTTCGTATTAAGTTCGAGCTTTAATCAGGATTCAGGATTGCTAGGGATCATAGCAGTAACCAGTTAGCCTAGTTTGTTTATGTACCATTTTTAAGATTGCATTCATCCGTCGGGATTCGGAATATTCGGTGTTGTAATTAGGGAAACCAACTTTCCTCGCAGCGTCTCTTTCAAAGCGCTTCTGCTTCAGAGCGCTCTTGCTTATGCGGGCATAATCTCGACGACCCGCCAAAGCTCAGCGCTCAATCTTCAAGCTTCACCACCATTTCCTCTGAGCTCATTTCAGGTTGTATTCTGTTGTGCTATCATTACCCTCTTAAAAGCGGCCTGAAGGCTGAGCTCAAGAGGTTGACCATTTTGATGATCACATCACTAGACCTGTGTTAGATCGATAACTACGTGATCTCACTGATATCGGAACTCGATGCAAGCGTGACAGGAACCTCTCGGCAGGGGCAATGACTCTGTCGGCAGACAAGCGTTGATCCAATGGTGGTATATAAAGCTAGCACGACCATCATCGTAATACACTGGCATCCGCCAACTCTCTGCCACTCTCGAGCTGACACTTGAATCCCTTTAACATGACCCTAGTCTCGAATGATCCTAAATGGTGGCCGCTGCTGGATGTTTATCGAATTTACAGCTATTTCGTAGGTTCGTGGATAGGTACTTCATCGATGACGTCGATGATGGCTCACTCAGATCTGCCTTTTACCACTGTGACTTTACAGTTGCATCCTCTACAGCAGTATACGATTGGGGTGAGCAATGTACGATCATACCCTTATCGAGAGACTTATCAATGTCCTATGATATTCAGCACTGACATTTGAACAAGAGGTAAGTTGATGGCATTACTAGAGCAGCTATCATCTCACGGTTTTCTAGTTTGAACTGGTCTTAGTGAGTAGAGTCCCCTGGACAACAGGATAATATAGCTCATTCCGAGTGACAGAGGCGACGCTGGTCTCGTGTGACTATCCTATACATCAGTGTACCCAGCTCACATTTTAACTGTAGTTGAAAATCTGTGCTATCTGATAACTTGTTTTAGGTGCGCTACGTCGGAATGCTTTCATTTGGGTATGTTTTCTAGGCTAATTTAGCTAGTACTGTGCTAATAAGACCTCATGTCACGATTAGGATCAGCATACTGTGTATGTTTCATCACGTTCATTGTAATTGTTTCTTCTGACTGGCGGCATGTAGTAGGTCTTCCGTCAATTTCAGTGACAGATATAGCGAGGATTCTACACTATCTTTTGTTATTTCATGTCAACTCACTGTCCTCCTACGTAGGGGTGAGTGAGATCCTCAACCATTTTGTTAGTTCAATATAATTATTGCTACAGTTATAAGTTAGTTTGAAGCATCCAGTCCTCTGAGCTCATCAGTAACTTGAATCTCCAGGCACTATTCTTGGCCTCGTACAATGGTGGATGATTTTCGTCGTAAATGTCATGCTGAGTTGTGAGTTACTTGGCTGCAGTACCTCATTAAGATTGACTTGACTGAAATATCGTGCCAGACATCTTAATTATTCGGTTACGTGCGATGTATCAGCGATCCAGGAAGATCTCAATCTTTCTCGCCGGAATCTCTTTAGCTGTCACGATTGTATGCGCAGTGATCCTCGCAATAGCAAGCAATGATGTTTCTGGGGGTAAGCCTCGATTATCATTAAAATATGCAAGCGTATTACTCATGGATTCCAGAGGAGCTTATCCTCTCTGGCACCTACCAGTGTGTTCTCAGTGGAAAGAGTGACCTCCCACTATCTGAGACTTGGATACTCGGTATCGCATGGGAAGTCCTCACACTATGTCTTGCAGTATGGATTGCTATAAAACACTTCCGTGAACTGCAACGACCATCTCCAGGGAGAGACTGTTTCACTTTCTTAATAGAAACTCACGTGTTTTACTTTGTAGCGTGAGTTCGAGACTTCAATGCAATATATATTTTTATGGCTGATCTTCCTCGCCAGACACGCTGCTGTTTCTTGCTTGGTCCTTGTCAGCCTTATCTCTCCACAGATATCGGTACGTCAACCTGTGACTACTAATACGTGCTCCTGACCACTCCCGTCATTTTTATAGGATTCCTCTTCAATGGGAACTGAGATTTATCTTGGTGTTGCTGAAATGTTCCTGCTCGTGCAGATGTTTGTTTTGGGATCTCCTTGGCATTCGAGAATATCACGCTAGGCTCGTGGACGACTCTGAGACAGGAACTAACATAACTACAATTGCTTTCCAAGAGGGCATACACGTATCTACTGATGACGATGTGTAGCACGAGAAACTATCCAAGTGAACAACACTCGTCAGGTACCCCACAAAGTAATTTTTTTAAAGCTGTTAATTCCTTGTAGTGCTGGTACATACTCATTTGACTACCCATCGGGTGATCTGAACTACAAGAATAAATGAGCTAAAATCGTAAGACCCAAAGGCCTTTATGTTTGCAATATGGCGTGCAAGCCGCAGATTCATATTCTACTACCTGCGACAAGAAGTCCTGGCTCCCGACATATGATGAGACAAGTTGAGCTCACAGATGGAATCCATCATGTTCCACCCCTCCGAGTCCAGCTTTCAGATTCGCTTCCTTCACAAGAAGTTGAAAGTCAAGTAGCTTGCTCTCCACCATGCACCTAGACTCATCAAGCCGAGGAAATTGCGAGGCATGTTAGAGGAGAGAAGAATCACAACTTAGTAATAGATATACACGTGACCCTCTCCGAACAAAGCAAAGCCACGGCTCATTAAAACAAGAAACTCAGAGGCTGCGTAGATCACGTTCGCAATAACAGTAGACCTACTGGCACCGCCCAACAAAGACAATCGGAGAGAAATCCTCATGGACTTTGGAATGTTGGACAGCCCGTCTAAATACTTCGCCGATACGGCGACCGTGGTTCGAGTGGCATTTGCACGTCTGTTCTTGAATAAACATCAAATAGCGCTGGCATTATTTATATGCCAGGAGCGCATCATATGAGGAGAAGGTGGTCTTTCAAATAACGAATGATGTTCCTCGAGTATCCGTTGCCAGCGCTAAACTGTAATGCGAGACACCGAGAGCTTCGCAAATCATATTGTCACATCCAGGATATAGTTCCAGTCGAAAGGTGCAATTTCTTGAAAGATTTACTGGGATCTTTCGGTTTGATCATCTGGTGTGGATAAGTCGAAAGACTCGGATTGTGCAGGCGGCCGGCCTGAGCTATTCGAAACTTCTGTGAATTACTGGCAGAAGTGGTTGGAAAGACCGTGGAAATGTGACACGCTAACTCGGAGAGCTCGGAGGTTAGACATTTGGCGACGAAAGCTTAAAGGGGGTTTGTTACGTTTAGATCTTCGACCATGCTCATCAAAGTAAAGGTAAGGACGAAGACATGCTGTCAGGAAACGGTTCGCTAACTTGATGCCAACTTCCGTTAGACACTCACTGGCAAGGAGGTGTTAAATCTAATCATCACTATCCGATAGTGACTAACGAAGGTTCATGCGCAGATCGAATTAGACATAGATCTCGAAGACAAGGTATCTGCGCCTAAGGGCATTATTTAACACCTCACGAACTCTATTGGAACAGATCACTCGAATCAAGGAGAAGGTCGAAGAGCAGTCCGGTGTGCCACCACAACAACAGAGACTGATCTTCGGAGGGAGACAAATGTGTGCCGTCTTAGCTTGTACAGGATTGCGTAAACTCACCGTATTATATTTGATCAAGGCCGGATGATAAAACCGCTAAGGAGTTCAATATCACCGCTGGATCAGTTCTGCATCTTGTCCTTGCTCTACGTGGCGGCTTTTGAGATCAGACCTGCGGAGAGGTGTATCAGAGATGCGCTCTAACAAAGGAGTTTAATCATGAGATGTAGGATTTCGTGCGTTGTTAGATATCATTTGATTTTCACTTGCTATCACATCGCTTGTCTTCCATCATCGTCTAACACGACTTACTCTGACATGGTACATGTCTTCGTCTACATATGCAGCTGATAATTTCCAGGCAGTGCCACGTATTTATCATGGATCAGGTTCTCCAACAATATCTGCTCCTGGCAACAGCCACCTGAATGTGATGCTCAATCTTGTTCCCCTCTCGATCCACTCAGGTTCTCCTTGTCCGTCTACTCCTCCACTGACAAAGTCCCTCGGTTTTCCATCAATTCCATGGGTCCAATCGTAGCGCGCATCCTCCGATAGGACCAGGACACTGCGTTCTTCCAGATAGAGGTCCCAATGATCCCTATCCAGCGGCACGGTCTTTTCGAACAGCTCCTCCTCTTGACACTTAACCCGCTCAAAGCTCATCACACACCCGCTTCCAAAGCTCACTCCTATAATTCCATCATCGAACCGTTTCAGTAGATCGATATGAGGTGAGATGCCTTCTCCAGGATGATACAGGTTCAGAATCGCCTGCCGTGCGCGCTGAGGCGCATCCTTGGGAGGAAATAACATTTCGTGCACTTTCTCGGGTAGATGATCACGCAACAAATCGGCTAGCCAATGCAGGAGTGTGATCAAAAACGTTGGTAAGCCACTTCCCATACTCTCGCCATGCTCGGATGTTGTGCGTCCAAAGAGCATGATCTGATTTATGTCTCGCCCATCGAAGTAAAGGCTCATGCACTGCTGAACGATATCGTTCGCCAGTTCGAGAGGCAATCTGATGGGTGGAACGAAAAGCCCAGGGATCGGTGGTGCAGTGCGCATGGCAATCTGAGGCTCGTCAAAGAGCGAATCGACTTCAGAGTCACTACCTTCCGAGAATGGGCTAGTTGCACGAGCGACATGCTCTACTCCGCTGAATTCATTATGCCCTACTTCACTGAAAGTTGGCAAGCGCACCTGCGTTGTTTACTGCGTACATTGGTAACAGACGCCTCAGTGCTGGCGATGGCGAGAAGGGAGATGGAGTCACACGTGGAAGCTCGCACGATTTAAATATACACGTAAGCTTGTAAACAATGCGTTTCAGATCTAGCAGGACAAAGGCGATGTCAGGGTTCCACCGCTTCTCCGACTACTGTGTAACATCCCCAACGTATCGAACAAAGAGTTCTTTAAGTAATTCTAAGAAATAGACGACTTAACAACGATCGGTATAACCCCTGCTTCAGAATAAGCACACACTCTCAAATCAGGTTCAAATACGAACCTCCGGTTGGTAAAATGTATTGTCTGTGGTTCATGACCCGCAGCACTGCGCTAACGATGCCCCCATGGGCAGTGAACGAGATGACTAATCAAGTACTCGGTCCAACTTCAATGAACAGGTGGGGTATGGTGCTCACATTGTTCCTGGTCCTTACCAAAAATCATGTCCAGTACGCGTCTCATTCGGGCATCGATTTCTGCGTGGGTTTCCCTCACTTCAGGGTCCCAGAGTGTGTCTTCTTCTATGAGCTCCTTTTCGATGTCGAAGTCAGGGAAAGTTTGTTCGATGTAAGTGCGCGTTCTTCGCTTATCACAGGTATGGACGCCCGTTGTTTCTCTAAGATTCTATAGCGCGAGTGAGTAAACCTAGCGAAAAAGTCTCGTGTCTTGATACCTCGATAATCATAGTTCGCTGTGATTGAGGTATAATGGAGTCGAATGATATCTTGTTTGTATGGATAGCTCGTGTCAGAGGGCTGCAGTAGAGCTTCTCCGGAATGGGAATGCCGAATTTACGTTCTTGCTTCCATGCGTCATGGACCGCTTTTGCCTGATCCTTGCCAAGCGTCGTCAATTCCGGGTCCGCTATAATGGGTTGTGAGGCAGCGCAATTCAGCGAACAGGTGATGTTACTGACGTCCCCAGATCAATTCTCCATCGCCGTTTTCCTTCGACCAATAGCTTGATAGATGTAGTCAGGTCAGGGAACTTCATCGAAGGAAGAGAACGGTGGAAGTGCACTTGTTCCATTCCTTCCGGCGTGGGAGGGGGATGTTAGGATAGAATGGACACTACATAGTAGGGCCTAGGTCGCACCTCTGTGCCGTACTTCGCCTCGGCTACGTTGTCTTGTGGGGAAAAAATTATATCAATTCTTGAAATGTTATCTTCAACGACATGAGATCCTCACGAAAGCCTTCACCGTGTCTGCCCACGAAAAACACCTTGTACTGCGTACTGGCGGGAGAGGACGTATTAAGCTGACCGATCTTTTGCCTGAACGTCTTCCATCGACCATCGGAACGATCTATCAGCCCGAATCGAGGAGGAAGCTGGAGTCCAAAAACTGGAGTTCAAATCTTTATGTTCGACGAAAATACACAGAAACTTACAGCCTTCAATACGAAGAACGGGATTATGCGTCAGCCAAGCGAAATCCTCATGGTCAAACACTACCTCGCCTAGACCGTAACGAGCGCCACCTTCTTGCATGAAAAATCCTTCGACCACCTGCCATTGGACTCATTCAGTTCTCGACCACATATGACCTCAAAAGACACGGATCGTAAAAGCTAACCTCATAAGACCGCTGGGACATGGTGTATCGGGACTCCAGAAGAGATACTGACTCTAAGCGGGTAATTACTATAAGAAGTCATCTCCTTCCTGTATGGTCTGTCTCACGAAATACTACTAAACAATCATGCGCACTTTGGGGCAACTTCTGGGTTCCTGTTTCAAGTTGGTCGCCAGGAGGTAAAATTCACACCCGAAGCTCCCGAACCGTTGAACGTGACTTGGCCCTTTCCTCCGATGAAGCCACGAAGCGATATCGACACCTCCCAAGTCGAAGGGAATGCTTCCTCGGAAATAAAACACAGGTTGCTCAGCGGTCTGCAATCCATGCGGTCGAGCCGCATCTCGCAGTCGACTGGCAAGCCCTTTGGAGGTTTCGAAGCCGAGCTTGTGTCTCGGCTGCGACTAACAGAGGCATCTATATCGTCGAAGACAGAGGAACCGGAGAAACTTGAAGGCCGTGTCGTTTTCCAGGTGATTGTGGATGAAGGTGCCTTTTTTTTCTGATATTATTTGTTGTGCTTATTGACAAATTCTCAGAAATGCTTAATGGTGCTGAAAACATGCACGGTGGATGTTCGGCCATGATGATTGACATGTATGTTTCTTCTCCTCCTGTTGCCAGGAGCTAATGTAGATACGTAGCTGCTCGACAATGCCCATTTACGTCCTTGGGGCCTCGACACGCGGTCATGGCATATTTGGCGTATCACAGTCTTTGAACATTGTCTATCATTCACCAGCATTGTCGTATGTTCAAATATCACACCAATCACTTTCTGCTGAATCATTCTGTCAGGGGAGACAAGCTACGCGTTGTGAGCACAACACTCGCCGTTGGTGGCCGGGCGCTCTCAAGTCGTTGTGAAGTGAGATTCTTGCAGTCTCACACTCTTGCTCCATCAGCTCATGTCTGGCTTCAAAGATATGGAATGTTACGCGACACCGATTAGTAGCATCAGCTGTACACATCAAGATGGTTCCGTCTGAACCGAAGGTATCTGAATCTGCCAAACTCTGACCTACATCATGGGGCGGTCACGAGTTTAGTGATTTACACAATTACACTGTATAGTGCGTTGCATTATGAAAGATGTTCAGTCTTTGATTTGGACGCAACATGTTTGTATATATTTGTGCCCAGTGTAACTGTCACGTGCACACTCTATCTCAATGACTTCAGTAGAGGATTGTTATTATTAAGATAGGCTTCACTCATACAGTGCACTGTTACGGACTCAATCTTGGTGCGATAAGGATTTTTTTTGCATTTTTTGCATGCAAGTGGGTCAAATGGTCATGAATCTGCAATAAAATTTTTTGGTGGTGATTATGTAAGCAGTCCCAATTTCGGTTGTAAAATTCAAAAGGTTCTATGTACTGGCGCGCCAATATCCTATCATAATATGCCCCGGAAAAACAAGAAGGCTCGGTGGGCCAAGGCTCACCGAGCTTCTGGCAGCAAATTCTTCAGTAAAGATGGAGGCTTGTTCCTGAAATCCTGGATGCATGCCCTACCAAAGTTATCCGAGCATTTTATCGGAAAACATGGCGCTACATGGACGCTTATAGGTGCGCATCTTAACACTATAGTTTGTGTCTGGTCTCTCAGTGTTTGTGCCCATGCAGGAAGGGCCTTAATGCTAAGCAAGCTGAGTATGCTGTGAAGAAATACCGCTCTCATCGCAAAGTTGGTGCAGGAATCATGATGGATATTGCTATAATGGATAACTCCGAATAAGTACATGTATTTCATACACTCGTGATGGTCCAGTGGAAGCCGCAAACATGCTTTTGCTTTGCTGCGACCAGCGGCGAGGAGGAGTGGTTACTAAAAAAGGAAGGTGGCGGTGTCAGTGGTGTGGGAAGTCCCAATTTGAGATTGTCATTTTTTTTAATCTAAGAATTTTAACAAAGTGACCAGATAGGATTGTAGCTGAGTTCAAATGGAGGCAATTCCACCACTTTATGTGTAAATCAGATGGAATGGAGTGATGTAGAAAGTGATCTCTGTTTGTGCTGTGGCAGAGGTCAGTTCTTTCCGTTTTGCACTGTACCTATCAACATCACATGACATGACATTCCTGTGACATTCTGTTACATTGTGTGACCTTCAGTGTGCAAGGAAAAGATAACAATGCTTGAAGCTTCTATCATCTATTGAGGTATCCGGAGGTATACTAACAATATGTTAAAGTGTTTAGGACATGAATTCAACAAGTGTTGTCAATCAAACCTGCATCTGTCAAATCTCGCATGATTGTCTCAGGCAAAACTTAATGACCATGATACTTCTTTGAGGCCCATGCCGCTCAGCGCTTGCTTGCTGTTTAGCCCTTTTCTATAGGCATCCATAAATCTCAATGAGTGAGCAGAAAACCTAGCATATCATAGTGTCAGCATGCTACCAATGGAACCATGATTCACAACAAAGACTTACCAATGAATGGCAGGCAGTGGAACTGAGTCCAAAGACTGAAGGGTGTTGCATTTGAGATCAACTTCTTTCAACAATGTGGGAAGTTCACAATAAATTTGTTTTGAGTAGCCCCAACATTGCTTGATGAAATTGAGCTCACAGTGAAACTTAGGGAAAAGATTGCCCAAAAGCCACACACTTTGCAAGCAACCTCAAGTAGTGACTTGACTTGACACTAACAAAATCAGGTTCATTGTAGAGCATTCTTCAACAGCAGCAACATGTGGCCCCCTTCTTACACTGAAATTTCAGGCACTCTGCCTGGATTTTCAGTGTCCTCATAACCTTGCTCCTCAAGTATCACTCCCATCCCTTTGAACACTCCAGCATGCTCATGGCCTTCCAGATAATACAGGGACTGTGATGATCCATCTGTGAACTTGCCATTACCCATGACACCAAACTGTCGGTGCACCACTGTCACACTGTACAGCCACAATGTAACATGGCAGTCACTACTTTGATCACTATACAGACTACTACTCCTCCAAAAATGCGAAATAAGGAATTCTGTTCCATCAGATTGCCTGCACTGTGTATGTGAACAATCTGATGGAACAAATTCTCTTAAAGGTATCTCTATGAATATCCTTAGGCATTATAGTGAAAAAGTCATGAAAAGTCATGTGATCTACATGTATATGATTGACATCTATCTTACCTGGCATTTTAACTTTTAAGCAAGAGAAGACAGTTGCTGAAATAACTCAACTTGCTGGGTGCAGTCAGTGAAATGTCTACAAAATTTTGAAACTCCACCAAGATTTCAGACAGACAAGAAATCTATTTGCTTGTCATCGTGGCAGGCCTCATTCTCAACCAACAGGAGTTTAGGATCTCTCATCTATCACATCCATTCTTGATGCCAACTCATTCTTGTTCCTTGATGAAATTCAAGAGCAGCTGCTTGAAACATGGAAATCGAAGTCTTGACTGCCACACTCATGCAACCTCTTGTTGACTTGCAATCATACAAACAGATTTTGAAGGCAGCAGCAGGACAAAGCAAGTTGCTGTGTGCAACACCTCAGTCCATGAATCTGCCATCTCAGTGCACTGCATCATTCAAGAAGATAGTGGGGGCTAATAAACAAGTGAGGGTGATCTTTTCGCAAGGATTATACAAGACAATAAGATCTGTTTAAGCCTAGTATATTGTTGAGAGAAATTGGTAGGATTGGCCTTGTCAACTGGTTGAATTTAAATCATGCCATACCTTGTAGGGACAAAGTTGGTTCTGTCACAAGGCTTTGTGGATGGCATAGTTCACCTGAATACTGCCAAAAAAACTTGTAGGGAAAGTGGGGAATTTGTGGAGTGAGTCTGTGTGTAATGGATGCCTTCCCACAGTGTTTAGAATGCTGTTCTGGTTCTAAATGTCCAACTCATGCCAACAGACCACTATCAGATGTCAGTCTTCATGTCAAACTGACCCAGTTCTAGATTGATGATTGATACCCAGAAGAGGGGGGCAGGACCCCCTTGCTAGATTCAAATCGTGTTCTAAAATTGCTTTCAAACACCATGACAATGTCACAAACCTCTGGTATGAATTGTATGATTTACACTTGCATAGATCATTGTCAATATTTCATTTTCAGGGCAGACTGTATGCTGACTGCCATATCTATGGTAGCCCAAAGAAAGTCACATGTGCAAGTTTCTGTTGCTCATGAATAGTAATTTTTTGTTGATGAACCATGTAATCCAGGGCACTGCTCTGAGTCTTGTTGTCTTGACTCTTGATAATTATAAAATTCGACATGCATCTGACCTTCTGTGACTCATTCATGATTTCTGGTAGTGCCATTGGGGTACCATCATGGAGAATGTGTCCCACATGGTTGCGAACCCTGTTGAGAGGAGGTGATCAAATGCCCACACATCAACCCAATGGTTGTGATGAAAGCTCGGTCATTGCGAGCCTAGTACAGAGTTTGCCAGGGAGCATTGGCACAGGGATTAGGAAGTAGGTCACTCTGAATAGTGATGTATGTTTTTCTTGCTTGCCAGTGTGCAAGGCATTCACATTGTGATCCTTTGGCTTCTGAAAAACTGACTGCATGGCATCCAAGTACAGCTATTCTGTGCCTCCTGAATTTGTTGTCTATCTCATCCTCTGCCAGCTGATGTAGATCCATGTTGTCATTGTCCATGTTTAGGTTTAGAACAAGTATCTAGAGCCTAAATACATTTGGCCTGCAGTTTGCAGATATGACTTAACATGATGGTAGTGCTGTGAGCCGAATCTCTGATGAATAATATTTGAAACAACATCTAGGATTCTAAATGCTGTGGGAAGTCACCCAATATCAACCCTGCAATGAGGCCAGAGCTATACTCCAATTGGGAGCCTTGTGCTCAATATTGACTGTATTGGGGTGTCACAAACCTACATAAGAATGAAGACTATCAGCTCAAAGGGGGACAAACAATACATGCACTGGTATGCCTGACGAGGTTTGGTATATAGTACTTGATTTGGATGCTAACATATTTTGTATGTATTAAAATTAAAATTGATGGGTGTAAAATTTGAATGTACCTTCACTGAAACTAACCACAATGACCAGCCTACTTCCAACTAATTATGTATGGCTAATTGATTGAGTGAGGCCCTGCCTCAAGCCTATAGTGGTATTCAAAGTTCAGAAATGCCAGTGCAAAGCAAAGTAAGAAATCCAACAATGATATTATTGAAACTCTGCATTATATCTCTGCATTGCTTACACATTACTGATAAGATCAGTCCACCATGCCTTGCTTATCACATCACAAACAGCAACTTCAAGCCCTTAGAAATATTCATGATAATCTTGTGATAGCTTGTTATGCAGAGCTCATGAAGTGTACAGTCGATGAGCTCCTTGAAGAACCTGACTCTGAAGATGAGAGTGACTCAGACAGCTCATTGGGTGATAATGGGTCTATCAGCATGTCCATCTCTTTGATATCATCGGATTCATCTTGGACCTCGCTCATGTCAGGCATCACAGCTACAACTTCCTGCTCACTTAGTGTATCATCCCAGTTCTTGTCTGATGGACCAGAGATGGCCATGCCAGCATTTGCAGAGTTTATTGATGCAGTCCATGCTCTGCATGACAAAGCACAGAAGAACCATGTTCTGAACATTAGACCCAAACTTACCTGTGCACCACAGCTGCACCTCTTTCCAGAATGGCAGATGTATGCTCCTGAAAAATTTTGCTGAAAGCTTTGGGTTTCACCTGCTATCTTTGACCATCTTGTGGCCTGTCTTGAGCTGCATCCAATTTTCTACAACAACTCACATAATCCACAGCTCCCCATTGCAATCCAGCTTGCAATTTTCCTCAATGGGGTAGGCCACTATGACAATGCTGTGATGATGGAGGATTTAGCTGAATGGGTGGGAGTCTCAATCAGGACTGTGTATACCTGCTTCAAGCAAGTTATGATCACAATCCTAAGGCACCACGACAACAAGATCCACTTTGATCCACTGGATCATGAAGATTGGGAGGAATGGAAAAGATTGCAGCAGTGGGTTGAAGGGAAAACATGCTGGGAATGGCATGGGGGCTTCCTCTGTATTGACAGCACCCCATTCAACTTGTTTCAGAAGCCAGGGTGGCATGGGGAAGGCTTTTTTGACAAAATTTCAAACTACTCACTTGCAGCTCAGGTATGTTGACCTAAGTTTTCATTGGACAGGATCATCAGGCTTACTTATTTTTTGAGGTTGTTATTTTACTGCACAACCTCTGTATTGTCAATTATGTTATCAGCATCCCTGGCAGCCTTCATGATTTGAATGTTTTCAGGTGTGCAAGGATTGTGTGGACACCAGAAGATTTTTTTGGTGGAGGCCAATGGCTATGGGCAGACTCTGTATATGCAATGCAAACATGGTGTGTGACACCATTTAAATGGCCACTGGGGGGGAGTTTGACAAGAGAACAGAAGACATTCAACTATCACCTTTCAAAGGTAAGTTGCATGCATGACATCAGTTAAACATAGCACTTACATATCAATAGGTCCATGTTCGCTCTGAGCACCTTTTTGGCTCATTGAAGGGCAGGTTTCAGAGCCTGTGAGAACTTCAATTTTCAGTCCAGGGCAAGAGAGATTTAGACTATTCAAATATGTGGATCCGCTTGTGCCTTATCCTTCATAATTTCATTTTAGAGATCAAGGAACACCTTGGTATTGCAAGTTCTGGTAAAGACTTTTATAAAGAGCTGACTGGGCAGGACATGGTTGAGGATGACACAGATGAGAATGATGAGGAGGAGGACGGACAAGGAGATGAAAGTTATATTGGCACAGAGGGACAAGATTTTCATAATACCTTGATGGCTCATTTGCTTTGTGTCCTGGATCAGTGGATATCTGCACAGAAAAATCCATGTATCAGTACAATCTACCAAAACAACAGCCACTGCAGAAGATCAACTAAAAAGTGACAAAGAGAATGAGTAAGAGATGATGATATGATACTTAATCATTAAGACCCCCTCCCCGCTCCATTGCAATATGCCAAATTCGCATCTCCTCCTCTTCTCAACATGTGTGGGCAAGCTCAAGTTGCTGACCCATGAGGTCATGTTTGTACATAAAGTCTTGTTCAGCAAGACACATGGCATGTTCTCATTCATCTTTAGCATTTTGTACTTTGAGGTCCCTAGACCAGATGTCACTCTCAAGCTTCAGTCGCTTGTAGTGATCATGCTCAGCACAACTGTCACATTTTTCACTGATTAACTAGATAAGCACATCTGCTGTTTCAGAAAGGTGCTCAGTGGCAATAGAAGTCTGACTGTTGTTGGTGCACTTGTGTGATGGGGGATGGGATGATTGAGGTGACCCACTCTGAGGGGATGTTCCAGACAGTTTCATGACTTGCACTGCTGAACATCCCCAAATGGAAGGACTTGCATGGCAAGAGTTGACATGAAGGCCCTGCATTGCATGGCTAGCACTGATATCAGAATCTTCTGAGTCCTGTGGTGTGGCATCACAGCTGGAAGCAGATTTCTTGAGACCTGAGAAAAATGAGTGACAGCTGTCAGACTGGACATTGCTGTCATCAGGCAGAGGCTCTGGAGAGTTGAGTGAGAATATATTTTGATCAGAAGGATATATTGAGATTGGAGTGATAGGAGGACGAAGACACAGGAAGGGAGGAAATATGGCAGAAGTAGATCCATGAGTGATGGACTGATCTGTGGGCCCCATCATGATGGTATCTTCATCAATGGGTTCCTCCACAATTTTGTCTGCAAGAAGAACAGGATCAAGACCTTCTCGATAGGTATCTTTGGTCTCATCAACTTCCCCCTCCTCTAGTTCTAATTCATCATCTATGTCAGGGTCATTTTCATCAGGGACTTGTGCATTATTGCTGCCAGACCTGCTAAAGTATTGTAGTGCATTGGATTCAAAGTTTTGTCTGGGATCTGCAGATGATGATGTGGTGTTGAATGCTGGATTAGTTCTCCACCAGCTGTGGAGGTCTGGCCACCATGGGAACTTTTTGAGTTGTGAATCTGCAAGAAAATAAAATAAAAGATCATGAACTTGGAGCATAACTTACCAATCAGTGTTTTTGTCTCTGGGTCCTTCTGCAGGTCCTCATATGTCATTCCAGCACCAGACTGTTTGAGGGCCTTATTAAACTTGTTATATTTCTTCCTAAGCCTAAAGTATCTAATCAGTAACAGACATGACATGAGAATTCAAAAGATCATGGTGGTTAGTGTTGCTGCAGCTTTGGCTAGCACCAGCTGTAATTCTCGGGCTTGAGTGAAACTCAAAAGTCACACTACTTATGTAATCACAAACTCAGTCCGGCTTATACAGCTATGGCAAGCAGCTGCAAGCTGGCTCAAGCGCTCAAGCCTGTGTAGATATTTTTAGTGTAATTTAAATTTAGAAATGTTACATCTCACTATCAATTGATTATTGACAATCCATGTAAATGACTGTAGTCTCCAAGATCCTTCATATACAACAAGAATGGGACCCCAATTTGTGGTAAGTTGTACCTTTGTGACGTTTTCACATGCGCTAATGCACGTATCAGGACCATATCACTGTTACCAAAGCAAGGCAGGTAGCTGCAGAGTTGTCGAGGGTGGTGAGGGGTGCACAAGGACAAGAGCAGGAGGTGACTGTGGTGTATGAGTCAGGGTGCCCATCCAAGTTGTGGATCGCATTGGTGAGAGCACTTGGATTCAGGATCCAAGACAACAACAAGTGAGTGCTTTAGTGTGCAGGAGATCCTAAAGAAGACTGAGATTGTGGTCAGTAGCAATCAAACTCATGCAGATGCCAACAATGACTCACAAATTCAATTGAATGCACCTGCTGCATCGAGGGACACAAGGAACACAAGGAACGGATAGTTGTATAAGTCCTGTAGTCATAGATCATGTTCCCAGGCTCTTTTGGCAATGTCAAGGCTTGTTACATTCGTGCAGTGATGAGATGGCCCACAGCAGCTCTCAATCTGTGTCCAGAATTGCAATGTAGTTTAAGGTGTAGGTTGTAACTTCCTGTCCATGGAGGAAGCTATGTGAATGCTCAATATGACATGAAACAAAATGAAAAATTCAATGAATAAGAAACATACTTACTGGGAGGCTTGTTGAAGGTTCAACAGCTCTGCTAGGCTTGCAGAGCAAAAGAAAGACAGAAAGAAGCCTCTACCTCTGGGGTGAGAGGAAGGCCACTGACTCTCTAAGTGTTGGTTGAAGTGCGCCAGGCGATATGTTCAACCCTTAGGGGAAGCAAGGAAAGCAAGATCCACTGGGTGACACCAGGTCAACTCTGGTGAAATGCGCTGAAAGCGCATGCACAGGAATGTTGAGCGTGTAGGTGCACGAAGCATGGGAATAAGGCGCATGCAGTGCACGAACATGTAAAAGATGATGATTAGCTGCTGCTGAAGACTAGGGTGACAACTATGATAGATGCTGGCTCATGATGGATTCTAACTCTCAGTGACTACCGACATGATGGTGGTTGGTGTATTCTCTGGTGGTGGTAGGTAGATGAAAACTTCCTAGGCAACAGGTAAGCTGTGCCTAGGCGTGCTCCCAGGGCTTGGAAGCGAATAGGGAGCGCTGTATGTATGTAAAATGATGTAAGTAAAAGGATCCATGACAAAATAATGTATGGTATGATGCTAAATATGAGAATAAATGAAAAGGGACACACCAGGGGACTGGTTGGACAATGGATGGATGTGCTGGGACACTGTGACAATGTGCAACTGAGTGCGGGAAGAGCGTGCTAAGTGCATGCACAGGAATGCATTGTGTAGTGTGGGAAAGTGTCGCACCTCTGGTGCATTTTGCAGGAAAGTCATAGCTAGTGAGTCGTGCACTGTACCAATTGTCATGAGTTATAATATGGGCAATATATGCCTAGAGGAATCTCATTCTCTACATCGTATTGGAAATGAAGATATGAATGACACATGCAAGAAAACACACTTGAAGATGCCCTCATGGCCTCATGAAGTGCAATAGCCTGATCCAAGTCTTCAGCACTGCCTCGGTGAGCAAAGCAGGTGGAGAGTTGAACTGCAAGATTATTCAATGACTTGGACCAATGTTGAACTATGAGATCACAAAAATGCACATAAAGCTTGAGGGTGTGTGCCACATTTCAATTTACTTGTGGTGTCACTATGCTAGCAGTCTGCTTGTCACAGGACTCGCCATTAAAGCCTGCTTCTTTGCTTCCCAAGCCTCAGCAGTGAGAGGGAGCCACCAGCAACCCCAAGATTGCCAAGGGTAGTGCCAGCACACATCCACCTGGTCTTGGAAGGTTGTTTGGAGCTTGGAGACCACTGTGAGTGTGAATAACACCCTTCATTCCTCAGTGTTGAGCCAAGTCTAGGCAAAGGACTACAGTCAATGAGGAAAAGGTTTGAAAGGCAATGGGACTCACCAGAAATCGCACAACTTCGTGTCCCCAGTCCCCCAACACATCTAAAGGAGCATCTGCACTGGGAGCTTGTAGAGTGAATGCACTAGCCAGTTCCGCAACTTTGCTTTTGAAAGCAGACATAGTGGAAGGGGATGTTGTAAAGACAGATGATGGGAGTAGTTAAGTGGTGTATATGAGCATATACAATGATGAGAATTCTGGAGGGCAACAAGTATAAGCCCTATGCTCACCAAATTTCCTGTAGTTCTCCTGTGATCAACAAACTTTTGCATTGATGGGGTCCAAACTGCTGTTGCCCAATGCTGGCACAGGGAAAGGGCTCACAAAGGGGCATCTTTGGAAGAGCCTGTGTATTATTCTGATTCCTAGATCATTAGATTTAGCTTCAGGTGTTAAAAGATGCAATGGCGGACATACTGTGCCATCAATGCAATCGACATTCTTGATATGGTGTGCTTCATTGATCCTTCAAGCCATACTGCTGAAGAGGTTCTAATTTGACAAGGTTAAGCTGAGGGTGAAAAACTGCTCAAGTGAATCTTACCTTCAAGTGCAATCCATTTTTGTATGCCCAGTCCTCATCTTCCTGAGGCAATGACAATCTGCTGAGTAGAATTTGATTAAGACTTTGAAGGTATCCAAGAAGTTTGCAGTTTTGCTGCAAGTTGTGAAGGTGAATGGAAAGGAATGTGGAAAACTGGTTCAGGCAATTGAGTTGGTAGCAGTGGATCATATCAATTAATTGTTCTGAAGAAAATGCAATTTTGGTCGGTTGAATGACACAAGACCTGTGCTGCAAAGCACCAATGAGCACTGAAACCATGTCAGAAAATCAAGCATAAATGATTCAATGTAGGGCTCACTGAATGTTTGAGTGATTGTCATATCCCATGATCTGGACCCCACTTCATATCCAACTCATTCCCAGATCCCCTTCTACTGTGTGCTCCACACCTCAGCAGGATCAACTATGCTCTGGATTTACCCCTGAGCTCCAGACCATTGGATCTCCACTGCTAGCCTGATCCATACCCCCCTGTCCCATCCACCCTATGCACACTCCACCTAGCAAGACATCCAGACTTCACCTCATCTTGGATTCTGGACTATATCCACCTTCTCATATCCTGGTCCTGTATCCACCTTGTCTTCTGGATCCCCAGATCTCCGGACCTCCAGATATTAACTCCAGACCTATTCCCACCCTCTGTCCAATATCCTGCGCCTATCCCCATTTAGACATCTCCGCCTTTCTGGCTTTTGGTTACCTCTTCTTCCGTCTTGCTTATTGATCCTTGTACAAGTCTTCATCTCCAAGTTCATTTAGTTATGTTCTGTCTTACTTACTAATGTGTTTCCACATGCTCATACATAGCCTTGCTCCTTTGCTTACTGATCCCCTCAGATAGTCTCCAGTATATAACCCCTGTAGATACTCCTGTAGTTTCCTCAGTTTGAATATCATCTTAGATCCTGTTCTATTTGCCCAATCTTCTTCCAGACTTCAGTCCATCTGAGTCTTGTCCTTTTCCATAAGGCCTAGGGATGGATTCCCTAGGCTGGAGCTCTGCCTTTCCAGCACTTCCCCTCTTTCTGGACTTAGGTCCAATCCCTGTCTCTCCGACTCTACCTTAGGGTAGTCTACCTCTGTTTGTTTCTACATTGGACTTTGTCCGATGTAGCCCCTATTCCTTCCATACCTTTGGACGTCCTATCCTCCTATCCTTCAGACATCCTGCCCTCCGTACCTTCGGACATCCTGTCCTTTGTACCTCTGGACATCCTGTCCTTCTGTCCTCCATCCTCCTGTCCTCCTGTCCTCTGGACCTCCTATCCTTCCATCCTGTTTCCTGTAGAAGTATCACCTCACAGTGGGAACTCTCCTGTGCTCCTTGGACTTCATTGGACCATCATTGGACCTCATCTGAAATGAAGGGCCCATACTTGGGTAAGGGGCACAGCGTATGAGCTGAGGCCAAGCTCCTCTGAGTCAGTCTCCCTCTCCCTTGAGCAACATGGTTCTTAACAGCGATGTAACACATGCTGCCCCTGGAAAAGAGTTAGGCAGGGGAGGGCAATATGAAATAATGAACATACATCCAAGAGGAAACATCTTTGTGAGCAGTTCAAGCACAATGTCAGGATTTGGCAAATGAATACTGAAGAGCTGAGGGACATATCCAGCTTGCAAAAGGCCATAAATGTGGAGAACATCCTGATATGCCATTCCCGGTAGCCTGCAGTCACAATGTCAGCGACCTAAATGAAAGAGGGGCTCAACAGACATACCATAAACCCACAACAGAATTCTCTGACACACTGTCGGACTTGAGCACCTGATGCCAATAATGAGCAGTGAATTTGACGTCATGCTTGAACTGGGAGTAAGTTATTGACGACCAATCATGTACCTGACCAGTTAATAGATCAGATTGGGGGACTCTGAAGACTGGGGCATCTGGGTAGGAAGAAGCACTGTGTTCTAGGATGGTGAGGTGAAATAGGTAAGGAGACATCAAGGAGAGGAGGTGAGATGATTATAGGATGTCTGTCTGGAGGGGCTTTTATATGCATGCTGTACAAAGACCCAAGCCTTGAGTCAGAGTATATCCTGGTCCATTGTTGGAACTCACAAGCCCAGTTCTGGAGGGTTACTTTAGTGACAAACAGCATCCGTGATCTAAAGCGGGATAAGAAAGCTGCCTCCTTGTAATTGCATGTACTCACTTTGGCTTTGTCCATTTCCTGTTGTTTGTCATGGAGTTGGCTCTCTTCTGCCTGTAGAGAGGCAGCAAAAGAAGCAAAAGTGCAAGTTTGCTGAATTTTTGCCAGCATTGGTGGTGATGAGGTGCTGGCAATAGGCTCTTATTGAATGCATAATTAGTCAGAACTGGCAGCCTGGGGCCTAGAATGTCAGTGTTGCAGGGAATGAGCTTGGTGAAAACACCACCCATAGCCTCAACAGTCCACCAACTCCTTGCTGGCAATCATAATGCATTGATATCAGGGATGGTTGGGACTGGGTCAGGCGTAGCGCACACTGTCAGCTATTCACTGTGTGGCTGGTAAGAAACAAATAAAGCATTGAAATCAAAATCAGCACAACAAAGAGCAAGAAAGTGCAAGCAAAAGGTGAGAGGCAAGAGGTGAAACAGTAGATGGCAGACAAAAAAAAGTCAGATAAGAAATAAGTGTCACTTGTCATAGATAATAGCAGTGTCCTTGATATTGTTGCACTCCTCCTCTGCAATGGCTCTGAGAAGAGCATCATTTGTGCTGTCAGTAGATGTCAAAAGCTTGCTAGAGCCTCTGTCGTGTACCACCCCATTTTCCATGTCCCATTGAGAGGCTGCCCAACCTTTTGTAAAATTAAGCTGTTCTTTCTTAAGGAAAAACTTGACCATCTGCAATGCCTCCATCAAAACAGGGCTGAGGTGATTCCTTTTTTCATATGGGTTTTGCTACTTGATGAAAATACCTGCTCACATGGCACCACAGAGGCCTGTTAGTCCATGGCAATCGAATAAATAGTTGGGAACATAGACTGCGAAGCCTAGTAAACAGCTCGTAGTTAACAACAAAGGGTGACTTGAAGAGGTTACAAACTCACATTCCAAAACACAAGTATATCTGTTCCACAAGGACTAAGTGTAGCCGTGGCATATGCTGTGAACTCCTGATCTACCATTTGACCACTCTCATGGTGATGCAGTGTATGTGCATGCACTGTGGGAAGTCCATAGCAACATGAGCCTAGTGTGCATGGCAGTGGTCATGGAACCACTACAGGTTGAGAATGCACAGGTATAGAGTTTTCTGCTTGCTTGCTATGCATCTGAAGAACAAATCAATCCAATGTCATGCTTTATTTTACTACAGAGACATACCAGCTTCAAGATAAACTCCTTGGCATCCTTGACACAGTCAGCCTCCCATAGACTGTCCATCCAAGACATCCACATTGCAGGATCAATATTCATTAAAACAAAACATGGGACTGACACATAGTGACAGCATAAGCATGTGTCACACCCATCTGGTCGGTGTATTTGCTTGCCCAGAGTAAGGCTATGTTGATGATAGGCTTACAGTGAGGGACGTGCAGGCCAATAGACTCCCAGCCATTGATCAACTCTTCAAAAGTTGGAATGGCACAGCTCAGCAAGGGAGTGCTTTCACTGGAGAGTTTTTGCTGGGTGGTGTGGGGTGCCTGGTATGAAATGGTAAGTTGGATCATGAGCTTCAAATGCATCAGTACTTACCTCCAAGATCACTTCCAGGTCCTGGAGGAACTGCCAATCCATCTCGCTCAATCTTTTCTCAGATATGTTGCATTGAGGCTAAGCATCAAAAAAGGTGGTTACCACCTGGGTGGGCCAGTATTAGTCCATAAGGTATGTTTAATGATGTGGCATCTTACCTGCTGCAGTGTCTGCAAATGGTTGATCATAATGTAGACCGAATCCCATGTAGTGGGCTCATTGAGGAGGAGTTCTACAACCAGGAGCTGTATAAGGTCACCACTGTCATCTTGAAACCACCTGTCCTCATTACCCCTAAGGATGCACTCACAAAACCTGTCATGCTGCTGGTTTGATGCATGGATCAATCACACGATATTCCTGGTGCACTCAAGAGGCTTAGCTTGCACAGCCTGGACGTAATCAACTTTCTTGATGATCTGGTCTTCAACTGTCCATGTATTGGCCACAGTGGAATAGTCAGCAGCAGCATATTTGTCGATAACATGCTTCACACATATGTTTATTATGTGCAGGAAACACAGTATCTTGTGTTCAACAGGATCAAAATCAATCCCACATTGCCTGAGTAGGTTAGAGAGCTCTTGCATTGCAGTTTGATTGTTGCCCACATTATCAAAAGTAAAATGCCCAGTCTGAACAACGTCAGAGCATGCAACACAATATGAACAAGTACTGACCTTGGCTGCAGTGTCTGCATGATCAAGGAGATATAAAATCATAGAACTGAGACTTTGTCCATCATGGCTTCCTGGAATATGGTGGAAAGCAAGGAGGGCTGTCTTCAACATGAGCATTGAATCTTTATTGGCCTTGGCGATCCAATGAGCCATAAGGGCCATGAATGGCCAGAGCTTTTGATCTGACCACAGGTCAGATGTGAAGCAGACTTTTCCCTGTGCATGCTAAAAGGAATAAGATACTTTGTGTCATATCCACATATCCGGATCTCAGATCCAACCCTTATCTTATCTCAGATCCACATCTTATCTCCCTCCAACATCTCGTCATCCAATCTGTTCCACTTGTCCAGTCCGGTCCACAACTCATCCGAATCCACAACCAGCACTTGTCTCCTTTCGGTAACCCCCTAACTCCAGTATTTCAGTTATCTGTATATCTGTCCTGCTCCCTTATCCGCTACCTATGTTTCATTTCCATTTCATGATTTGTGATCCATTTCTACTTACCAATAGACTATCCACATGCTTTGTACATAGCCTCGGACTCTGCTGATTGATCATTCCATTAGATACCTATATTATATAACCTCCTGTAACTTTTTGTAGTACCTCAGTTCAAATATCATCTTAGTTCTGCTCATTCCTGTCCTCTGGACCTGAGTACCTCTACTCTCATCACCCTCTGAGACTTAGGATTGATTCCTATAGTCTATCCATATCCACCTCTGTCCCCGACAGTCCATTACTGTTAGTTTCTAGTCTGGACTTGTCCAGATTAGCCCTACGATACTTATTCCTCATCTGGAAGTCATCCGGATCCGTTACACTACTCGTCTGACCTTCCAGACGTGTTAGCCTTGCCTCCCTGAAATAAGGGGCAATACTTGGGTAAGGGGCACAGCGCACAAGCTGAGGCCGAAGCCCTTCGGATCCAGTTATCCTTTGAGTACGACCTTAACACTTTGTAGCACACTTGGCAGCTATGTACTTACAGCAAGATCATTCTTCAACACCAGGAAGTATTCCTGCCATTGCTCAATTACCATTTCATGAGCCTTCATGCAGTGAAATAGGCCAGTCTTGCCAATTTCTGGGCACAGGAGACAGATGAGGCACCAGAATTCAGGGCACTCAATCATATTTATTGCCTGGGGGCGATTACTAATGGTGGCTGTAGGCATGAACTGCTACTCACCTGATCATCAGCAACAATAAACTTGACAATTTGACAATGCATTTCATCAAGCATGAAGTCTGGAATTTGATCTTCTGGAGAGCAGGTTCCTCCCAGTGAGGCACCAGATCCCTTGTTAGGGGGGGGACCAAGTGATTGCATTGTGCAAGGCAATTTCTTGAGCTGTTCACGAATCATCTTCAGTGACCACCCTTCGGCAAGGTGTTCATTTAGATCCTTTATCTGTATGTGCCAGCCAAAACACTCAGCTGCTTCCAGATAAAGTTTGGTGTAGTGAGTGAAAGCATGTGTACAGGGAGCTGAGCTGGATGTTGAGCCTGCATATACCATGACCTTGTGTGTTGTGCCAATTTCATGCAGTGTTCTGGTGAAGAGTGTGAGAAACAATACAAGATTGCAGACACAATACTTACTCACAAGGGATGCAAGTTTTGCTCTTCATATCAGGGTCAATCTGGTAGAAGTGATTGATATCAGTTGGCCCTTTAGGCTGCTTGAGGTTGCCAGTGGCTAAAGGGTCAGTGTGAACAGTGCTGGTGACGGTCTGGAGTGGGCTTGGATTAGAGCCTGCAGGCACCATAGTGGCAGGTGCAGCAAGATTTTCCAGTTCCTCTTCATCCCCTGAGACATTGTCGAGGTCAAAAACTTCACCCTCATCTGGACCAGCAGAAGCTGCATCACTGGTTCTGTACCTGACAGGAAGTTGACACTGATGGGGGTGCTGAAGAGTAGTGGCATTTGCTGCAGCAGCAACAAGGATAGCAGCTGGGATGGCAGCAGGGATAGCGGAGATAGCAGCAGAGGCAGTGGGTATATCAGTAGCAACAGGAGAAACACCAGTTGCCCAGGTCTTATTCTGTCCATGTCGACGACCTCACATTTGCAGTAGACTTGATGATAACTCAACGACAGAACCATCTGTCTTTATAAGAGTTCTGCCTGGGAAACCCCAGAAAATCCCCATGTATGTGAAGCACATCACAGGTGCCAACGTGGTGGAATAGAGCAGGGTATTGATGGAAGGTCACCCATGCAGTATGTGATAGCCTGTAGGGTGATATATGAACTATATGATATAAGAGAAGTGAACAGTAAAAGTGCAATGCACAAGTTTGGCACCTGTCAGATGACTGACAGGGTGTGGGTGTAGTTGGTCTTCTTCATCTGTTTTCTGTCAATAAAAGCTTGCAAAGCACTATGATTTGGTAGGGGTGAGGGCAGGTGGGGGGGAGGGGGGATCTCACTCAGTGAAGGACATACCTGGAGACTAAAGTGAATTGGCTCCATGTGGCTTTCTAGATTGCCATTAGATAGATAGTAGCTTGAGAAATGAATGGCTTACCTTCATCCTCAGGGTCTCAATTCCAAACCCAGATTGCACGGCAGTAAAGTCATCTACCAAAAGGTTAGTGATACATTGTAAAAGGGTCCCCCATGTGGCTTTGCATGTAGGTGCAGATGACTACCACTCCTAGAATTTGATCACCACGCAATACAGTTTTACAATCAATACAACAACTATTATCTTGTACAAAAGTTGAATTGCTGAACCCTATCACCTAGTGATGCAGCCTGTTTAAAAGTGATTCAAAACTTCAGTTGCGAATAACCATAAGTGCCAATGAGACCCTCACCTTGGTGATCATGTCTGATCAGCAGGAGCAAATGTGACAGCAAAATATATGGCAATTCTAAGTGATGATGAAGGTTTGGCACAAAGATTGATAGCTGCACACTGCACAGCATGCTGAAGGGAAAATAGACAGATTAGTAAGTGGTTCACACTGAAGGCAGTGCACAAATACACATGATCCATTGCAGTACACTAACATATTGCTAACGTATGTAAGGATGAGACTTGGAATCAAATCATGTGACTCTTATAATATATATGTACTGTAGTCTACAACAGTGACATTTAGTAACCAGTCAACATTTCTGCTGTGGAGTTGACATAGCATGCCATGGGGAGCCATTGTGCAGGTGTAACCTTGTAGTTAAGTTAAACTTCAGTTCAAAGATATGGAACAAACAGGTTACTCACACATGAGCCAATCTGCGAACTGCCTCTGGTGGACATGGTGATCTTGCTTTGGCCACACAGCACTGATCAGGTAATAGAAGGGGATGTATGGCAGAACCATCAGGTTGACTGAAATCCAACATGCACATAGCTGGTGCAGGCAATGTGGCACAAAGACCATGAAGTAATGAATGGAGGTGATCATAATCAGGATCTTCTGCGAATGTGAGAGAGCGGGTGTAAATAAGGATGGTTGTGAACTCAGCAGGGATGTCATGACATATTTCTGCAATGGTAGCACGTGCTTTGCGCTCAAGTATGGTAGAGCTGGACAACTTCTTGTCATCACAGGTTAGCCATGGAAGGGAGCCATGCAAGAAATAGATTAGCATGTAAGTGAGTGACTTGAGATTGTCACAATGACCTGGCTCGACTCCTAAGTGATTGTTGATTGAGGCGAATGCAGGAGTGCCAGAGAGACTTCAACCATGGCGAAATGGCACATGGTCATTTGTTATAGCATTCCAGTATGTCTTTGTGATACCAAAGTCTATAATAAAGGCAGTGTGCCTTGAATTTCCAAGACCCACCAAGATGTTCTGTGGTTTAATGTTGCCATGAACATAATTGTGGGAGTGAATATACTCAAGACATGAGAGCTAGGAAAGTCAGTCAACCTATCTGCAAAGACCTCAGACCAAATGACTTACCAACTGGACTCCTAGATTGACAACATTAAGAAGGCTGAATCTTCAATTGTTTGTGAGGAAGAGTTGGTGGAGTGATGGCCCAAGGAGTTTGAGAACCAGCGCATGATACGCTGGCTCTCTACCAAACCAGAAGGTGCAGGGAATGCCAACTCCACCTTCAAGTTGTTTCAAGATCCAGTATTCACGCTCCAGAGAAGATGAGTGGTCGACAACAGTTTTGAGTTTGAGAGCAACATGATCATCATTGATGATATTTCATGCAGAATATACGACAGCTAAGTCATATAACATAAGTGGATCTGAACCAGGATAACAAAATTGACTACATACCATACAAGCCAGATCCTAAAATATCTCCCAGCCTAAATCTACCATCCACTCAAGCTGGGACCTTATTCATGGTAACTTACAGTGAATCCAACTGAATAGTGGGGAGATGTTGGAGAAAGCCTGAAAATGAGTTCACTATGCAACCCCCTCCAGCTGGCTTGAAGCTGGCTCAAGCTGTTGTTCCTACATTCTTGGCTTATGTTATACATGCTGGTTGAGGTTGCCTTGTGAACCAGACCAAGTCACACATGAGTGACTTGGTTCATGGAGATCACTGAACTGCCAGTTTATTGGTAAGAGCCAAGCCTGGACCAGCCATAGCTGAGCTACATCACTACTAGCTGGAATCCACAGTATCAGAAGGGGATGCAGGAGGAGTTTGCAATACAGGCATGGCTAATGCAGGAGTATGATGCTGGAAATCACAATCACAATGCCAGTTGGTTTGGATGTGAAGATATGAGCCACTGGTGGATGGATAAAATTTTTCAAACTCTGATGTTTGTTCATCCAGGCATTTCCTGAGACTAAAATGTTTGGGTCAAAGTAGCTATTTCATATCATTGGCAAAAAAGTTCATTCATCTTGAGTGTTTATGAACCCACTGAAGGCGAGGAATTTGGATGGGAGGGGAAACTAAAGATAAGGACTCTTCAGAGCTCCTCTGGACACGAGTCAAACTCGACCCAAGGGGATTGTCACTGAGAAAGGATTCCTCTAAAGAATTTGAGGGGAAATGCCAAGAACTAGCTCTCAACAGAGGGCCTGGTGGAGCGTGAGAGTATGGAATGCAATGATAGGTGCCAAAGCACGCTGGATGCAATAGGTATGTGAAAATCAACAAAGATGGTAATCGATTCAACTATCTGCTGCTGCTCTCAGGATACTAGTCAAAGGGAAGTAAGTAACTAAAATTTACCCAGAGGCATGTAATGCCTCGTAAGCACATTCCCAGGCTTCAGAAGCGAATAGGTAGCGGTAAATATCATAAGTGATGTAACTTAAGTAAAAATAGTGAGGCAAAGAGTAATTGCATACCATATGTAACTCTGTGATGTGTTTGAAGTAAAAATAGATAGAACATGCACCAATGGACCTTGGAGGATGAGGACAGGACATGCAGACGGTTGGTGATGAGGACACAAAAGTGCGTTTGTAGCGCATCCAAAGCATGCCAAAGTGTGCATTGTCGCAAATACTGTGCATGTATCACACTTGTTGGGGGTGTCAGCACAGAGGCCAAAACATGAAAATATGCCTATTATATGGCTGTAGAGGACATGGTCTCTACACTGCTCTGCAGGTCTTGAAATGCTGCCTGGGCATCCTGTGCCAGTAATGAATACATTTGGGATTGCCTTCCCAAGTAGCATGAATGACCCAGAAAATGTTTCACCAATGATTCCCACATCCTGTTGCCCCATTGGGTTGCTTTCCACAAGAAAAAGTTGCATGTCCAATCCATCTCCAATTGGACCAATGTCATTTCTTCCTTCCATTGATCCCATAGGGCCTTTGCCCAAAGCCAATGAACTTGGTAAACTTTGGATGGGTCTCATCAGCTGAGCACAGGATACATCAAGCATGCCTGAACTCACATTCCTCATTCCATGAGTGATCTGGACCCCCCAGGTCCACATTGATGGACCAGAACTAAGTGAGGGACTTGTTCCGCTGACCTCAGGCATTTGGATTGCCAACAGCAGTGCTGAATTTTAGCTGCTCCCAAAGCAGTGGTTTGTATGTCTGAAGCTGGTCTTGCCCCAGCTCAAGTTGTATCATTTGCTTCTGGGTCTTTGTATATATACTGGCATGGAGGGACACTGTCCACTGCATTGACATCACCTGGGACCAAGCTCAAGTTTTCAGGGCTTGAGATTTGGCCTGCCTGACCATTGTTTGGAACAGGATTGCCTTGTTGCATAAGTGAATCCAGAGGTTGTGAAGGGCATCATTGGCCTGCCCTTCACGAAGCAACATCCCCAGCAGAATCAGATCCTCTGCCATACAGTGTCTGCTTTGATCTACCCCAAGGTTTGATGGCAATGGGATGACAGTGAGCTTGGGGGAGTTTGCCCATGTATCAGATGTGTTGGTAAAATCTGCCAGGTCATCATCAAGATCATTGAGAATGTCTATGTTCAAGTCATCAGGATCATCATCTGCATCAAATCCCTCTCCCAGATGTGTAAGAGCAGACCAGGTGAATCCATCTATCTGGCCTTGGAGATGATCGTGTTGCTGGGTGATGTCTAATCTCTGTGTCTCTGTAGTTCTTCTTCCAATTCTTCAGAGCTTAATGACCAATGCAATCTGAGCCTCTTCAATTGCCAACCCCATTGATATCCATGTTGCCACTGATCTGTGAGCAGGTGCTGCATTACAGGCATTACCCTCCTCCAGCAGTCTAAGCTCGATCTCCTTTTTGCTCAGTGCTGAGTGCAACAATTAATTCTGACTTTGATGTAGCCAAAGTCAACTTACCCTTCTTGATATTAATCTCATATACATCCATTGCCACAGGATCATTTATTCTGCTGAACTGAGCAATCCTCTCACTGGCTAACCATTCTTTCTTTGAAGCTGTGGGCACTGCCTCATTGAGTCTGTTGAAAGCCTTTTCACTTTCAGCGATGCCATTCTTTGCCTGCTTGTATTTATGGCAAAGAGTCCTTTTCATGTGGATCATCTTGCAGAAATTGGAATCATTCATCTGATAATCAAGACATTCCTTTCAATGCAGGGATGTCATTCCCCAAGCAGCAGGGGAAATTAGGTTGAGATGCAACCATAGGGTCTTCATGATCTCACCATCGATCCAACCAATGCCTTCAATAAAATTCAATGCATATCAGACATAGCAGCTGTCCTGATGTCCATGGACATGCCACAACCTGATTCCAGGAATGATGGTCAATTCTGGAACCATTTCGAGAAATTGGCTTTGATCCACCTGAACCTGAAAGTGCTTGTTGTATTGACAGTTGATGTCATAGAAGGTGACAGCCCTGGTTATGCCTTCCATGTTGTGCTGGGCAGCCTCACAAAGGGCATAATCCATGTTCATTTGTCTGCAAATGATGCACTGTTAACTTGTTAATGTAGAATGGCATGGTTGGCTTGCCTTTCGCCTGTCTGAAAATCTACCATTGAGTGAGGGACAAATCAACCATGTTGGGCACAGGCAACTCCCCTGATTCCGGTGGACTCCAGCTTGTGCCAAGCCGCATTTGCTTGATTCACTGCCTGGTGATTGTTGCAGCTTGATTTTTCCAATGTGTCAGCAGCCTCCACAAGATGGGTTTTATACCTGTCCTTTCCCATCATGAATCCCAACCCATCGGAAAGCCACACTTCATCAAATGACTTGATGGGATGCAGGTGTTCAGCTTTGAAATTTCTGTCCATAACAAATGACCGGGTGTATTTCCAGCTTGGAGTCGTTATTATAGCTGAGGTGACTTGGGTATTGAACTAGACTCACTCATCAAGTGATTCATCCCCTGACAAGGATATGTTAATCCCAGGCTGAGGACATGTGGGGCAAAACAATGCGAGATCTCCTGCATTCAGGTTGTCAGAACGATGGCCAAATCCATGCCATTTCATGGCCTTCAACTGCCTCCACTGTCAAGCGACTCTCATGAGCTCTCTGTATCAGTCCTTGCCGTGTGCTGTTTCAATATAATGTCCTTTAGATGTTGGAGATTTGGCATTACCAGAACAAGATGTGGAAACATGCTTGAGGTCATTCACCGGAGCTTGCTGTAATAGTTCATCACTGAGGTGCTGCATTCAAGGTTGTCCAATAGAAAATCATTGAGCACCCTGAAGGTGAACAAAGTCTTCGGCTTGTTAAATGATGCGGGGAAAAATCCATGTCAAAACATTTGAATGTCTGGACTCATGGCATTTGGACAATCACAGCATTGAACCTCAAGGCAATGAACTCCAGACTTGTCAATAATGACCATGGTGTTTTCCTTCAGCTGGAACTCAGGTCCTGACACAGATGGTCAATCTTCAGGCTCAAGCTGGTCTTTATGCTCGTCTTCTTCGAACAAATCCCACCTATCTGTGAGGACCAGACATTGTTTGCCATCATGACCGAGGTGTATGATGAGTCTGACATGGGCAAGACAACTCTGCTTGAAGAATTGACCATTCCATTGACTGATCCAGTGGAAAGGATGGCAATGATGTTGACTCCTGCAACAGCCAGTGCAATATAGTGGCTCCCCAAGACAATCTTGACATTTGTAGACCCCATCCTGGTTGCAAACAATGCATCTCCTATCTTCTGGTGGAGCTTCTCAATCCAGGAGGTGATGCAGATATGATTCCTGCCTTGGCAGCCATTGCCTGAGGTAGTCATTCTGACTCTGCATTTTTTATGCTTAGCTATCATTTGAATGACAATCTAACATTTTACATGAACTTGCCATGGTTTTTGGGAGTTTTTGGGAGTGTTAAGAACCATGTTGCTCAAAGGAGAGAGAGACTGACTCAGAGGGGCTTGGCCTCAGCTTATACGCTGTGCCCCTTACCCAAATATGGGCCCTTCATTTCATATGAGGTCCAATGATGGTCTGACGAAGTCTAGAGGACTTCTGGAGGAGTGTGGGAGAGTTCCAGAGGAATGCAGGAAGTGCTCAGAAGAGTTCCCACTACAAGGTAATACTTCTGCAGGAAACAGGATGGAAGGATGGGAGGTCTGAAGGTCTGGAGGACAGGAGGACAGGAGGGCAGGAGGGCAGGAGGACAGAGGACAGGAGGACAGGAGGACAGGATGTCTGGAGGTATGAAGGACAGGATGTCCAAAGGTACAAAGGGCAGGATGTCTGAAGGACAGGAGGATGGGACATCCGAGGATTAGAAGGATGGAATGTTCAAAGGTACAGAGGGCGGAACATCTGAAGGACAGGACATCCAGAGGTCCAGAAGGATCAGGGGCTACATCAGACTTCGTCTGATGTAGAAGCAAACAGAGATAGACTACCCTTAGGTAGAGTCAGAGAGACAGGAAGTGGACCAAAGTCCGGAAAGAGGGTAAGTGCTGGAAAGGCAAAGCTCTGGCCTAGGGAATCAATCCCTAAGCCTGATGGATAGGACAGACTTAGGCAGACCAAAGTCCAAGAGAGGATTGGGCAAGTAGAGCAAAGTCTAAGATGATATTCAAACTGAGGAAACTACAGGAGTATCTACAGGGGTTATATACTGGAGACTATCTGAGGGGATCAGTAAGCAAAGGAGCAAGGCTATGTATGAGCATGTGGAAACACATTAGTAAGTAAGACAGAACATAACTAAATGAACTTGGAGATGAAGACTTGTACAAGGATCAATAAGCAAGACGGAAGAAGAGGTAACCAAAAGCCAGAAAGGCGGAGATGTCTAAATGGGGATAGGCGCAGGATATTGGACAGAGGGTGGGAATAGGTCTGGAGTTAATATCTGGAGGTCCGGAGATCTGGGGATCCAGAAGACAAGGTGGATACAGGACCAGGATATGAGAAGGTGGATATAGTCCAGAATCCAAGATGAGGTGAAGTCTGGATGTCTTGCTAGGTGGAGTGCGCATAGGGTGGACAGGATAGGGTGGTATAGATCAGGCTAGCAGTGAGGATCCAGAGGTCTGGAGCTCAGGGGTAAATCCAGAGCGGAGTCAATCCTACTGAGGTGTGGAGCACACAGTGGAAGGGGATCGGGCAATGAGTCGGATATGGGGTCTGGACATAGGCTCAGAAGGCGTGGGAATATTATGGAATGTGAGTCCATATTGTGGGATATGACAGGGAGTTGCAAAGGCTCAAATGAGCCTTGGTCATGCTCATAAGCATTGTCAGGAAAGTCTTCCCAAGGAGGTGGTGCCTCAACAGGCTGAAGTGTGGGTGATTCTGGGGGAGAGTCAGGCATGGACCTGTAGGCATGTCATTTTGTGCTCACAAGTGGGACCTTGACCCAAGTTTTCCTACCCTTGCTGCCCCTTGCTTCTACCCTGTGGGATTTTTGCAGTGGGGTGCATCTACCTATCTTCATCTTATTTTCTGATATTGCAATATGATGTTATGCAGTCTTGATGCATCATTACAAACTAGCTTCATACCCATTGTGCCTTTGGCACAGGAAGCAAATGGAGTGCTTCACACTCCTTTTTGGCTTCCTGGCCTCGGCTGCATCCCAGCATGTGCAATAAATAATTGATGAAAAATTGAATGAGAGCACAGGGGAATGGGGGAATGAGCCAAAGGTGTGAGTGGAGTGAGCACTTTTGGTCTGTTCCCCCATTCCCCTGTGCTCTCATTCAATTTTTCATCAATTATTTATTGACATGTGCTGCACTTGAATGGGCAACAGTATCAAGTCAGAGCTCAAAAACCCATGACCAGGCCACATGAGATTCCCAAAAACAGGTTTAAGCGAGCTAAGTGCTCTTAAGCACATCTAAGCATATCTATGTGAAAGCCACATGAGCTGGCAAGATGATTCCCACCTGTCACATCCTACTTTATAGATTCATTTCCACTAATGGCATTGCATCCAATATGGGTCGATTAACCAACTGTTAGGCTTTGCTCAAAGTTCAACTTGTCACCATTATTACTTCCACCTTGCTTATCCTCAGCCCATTCTGCAATCTCATTCACCATGGCAAGATCAGGTCACTCAACTCAGTTGACTTCTGGAAGACATAGGGCACATCAACCACAGACACAGAAGCTCATGGAAAACAAAATTTTGGAGTTGAAGAACTACCTTCCTGAGTGAACTTTGGCAAAATGGAAAGAGAAGTGAGCAGTTTTCACTGCCATAGCTAGGGCTGCCAGGTTATTTGCTCCTAAGGTTGACCAAGCACAGTGGAAGAAGAGGAAGCAGGTGATTCATCCTCCCTGTGTTGAAAAACTAAAATTTTAATATCTTATTTGTCCATTAATGCTCAGATATACAAGACTTGGTTGTTTAACAACAGGAAAAAGAAGGAAAGGAAGGACATGATAAAGTATGGGAGAAAATGGATGCCTAGGATGGTGATCTACCAGCAGAACTGGGAAGAGGTGCTAAAGAGGATTGAGGACAAGTCCAGGGCAAAGCCAGGAGATCCCGGTATGTTCAAGCATTATCAGGCGGCTGTGAAGAGAGCCATGGCTGAATTGTCCAACAACGAGTTGGAGAAGGTGAAGGAAACAGCTGAAGAATGGTCCAACAACTTTCCTCCTCCTGAGATACAGGCACAAGTCACTTGTAAGAAGGGACCTGTGTATATGGAGCACTTTTTGAAGGAGATGTGGAGGCAATGTGGGATAAGAGTGTTTGTGATGTCAGCTTGGAAGAATGAACAGGGAGAGGTGCTGTTCAGGATGTAAGTGAATTGTGTCTGTCATTGCAGATCTTCAATCTCAATAGATGTCATGCAGGCACAATAATAATGAAGCATTAGGAGATGTGGACAGCTTCATGAAGATGAAGGACTGGGAGGACATCGAGCCAGTTTGGCAGGAGTACATGCAGGAACAGTTCGGTGAGTGTTTGAACTCTGGCTACTAGAAGGAATTTGTTGATCATGATGATGATAGGTGCTGGGGCATGGGATGGAGGACAACAGATGAAGGGAGGTCGAAAAAGAATCAGAAAGCCTGCTTTCAAACTGGAAACTGACAGAGATGGGATGCCATTGCTTCCAAACATCACTGAAATGAAACTCAAGGAGAAGAAGGTCATAGTGAGGGCATTTCTTACATCGCACTATCATGAATCTATTGTTGCAACACCTGAGAATTTGTTGAATGCATGGACACAGGGATCTGTTCCAGGAGCAACAAGGCAGTTGTGCCATGGAGCACCATCATATAAAGTCAGGATGACTTTGTGGCAAGGAAGTATGTTCTGGCAGATGTGGACTTGAAGGAGCCTTTCAAGTTGCAAAATTGGGACACTACAGCCTTACTCAATTTCTGGCATGCTCAGCAGGAGAAAGGCAAAGGACCAACATTCCTGTTCAAAGCATGGAAGAATAAAGATGGAGACATGGTAGCATTGGTTGTGTCTGGGAATTTGCCTTCTCATCGGACTTGTAAAGTCAGAAAGAAGATGATCCGAAGGCCTCGGAATTCATCAACCAACACCAAGAGTGACTCTCATCATATGGAGGATGATGCTGATGATGGTGCAGCTGATGGTAGATCCCTGCAAAAGAGACCCAGAAGAGAGCCAGGTCCTTTGACAGCACATGAAGGGACAGCAGTCCCATGTGCAACTCCAAAGCCTTGCCCAGTCAAGCCAGTGAAAACTGGTGCACTGCTGACATCACGAATGGACAACCTCCTGGCTGGGATGACTGATGGAGTCACTGGCAATGTTGAGGAGGATGTTGGAATGGAAGGAGGGCATATGTCTCCAGTGCCAAAGAACATGTGGGGAAAAAAACTGGCGATTGAGCCATTGGCAAGGACAACCCAGAGTAAATCAACTCAACAGCCATCAGACAATACCCCTCAAGTGACAAGAGCAAGGGGAAAGAAGTAATGGACTGATACTACACTGCCTGCCTTTATGTACATGTCAATGTTATTCAATCTCTATGGCTCAGGAGTTCCTGGGTGTTGAACACAGAAGTTTAAGTCTCACTTTGGCTCACTGAGTCCCAAGTGTCACACACTGAAGTTCAATTCTTACTGTACAGAGGATCACTGAGTCCCAAGTTCAATTCAAAGATTGAACTCGGGACTTGGTGATCCTCTGTAAAGTGAGGATTGAACTTCAGTGTTCGACACTTGGGACTCAGTGAGCCAAAGCAACACTTAAACTTCTGTGTTTGACACCTGGTGTAAAGAAGTAATTGGTACTAGGTGGTTAGCAGCTAGCACTACTTATCCTAAGAGGCACGAGTTAATTGATCAGCCTGAGAGGACTGCTATTGAAGCACTTCCTTCAATTATGTGCGAGGGAAGTAAGTGAGTGAAGGAGTTATAACCTATGTCAGCCTAAGAAACTAGAATGCGGACCATATGTATACCTTTGAATTTCTATGCCAAAGAATTGACCGTGAGCACAGACAAAAATCAACCAATGTTAGTATCACAAGAGTGGGATGAACTGTTGGAAGATATGTGCAAGTGTATTGGATGTCAGATGCTGGTGTGGCAGATGTAACATGCATGAAATCAACCATGCTCTATGGAGCAGCCAGTCACAAGGGATATAGTGCAAGTGAAGAACTGTGCTAAACTACTGGTTGTGGGTTGGGTATTCTTGCAAGAGCTTAAGGGTAAGATCCTAGCAGTATGGAACTTCAGAGTGGTTGAATTGTGCAGGATTGTCAGGAAAGAGCAAAATAGATGGATTGCGCAAGGTCTACAAAAATAATGCAAGAATGACTCTCCTATAGAGCTGAGTCCAGGGGAAAGGGAACTAACTCAATCATATGTACTGCGGTCATTTTATCATAGTGCATGAAGGTCTGGAATGTATAGGCAAGAATTGTAGCATAGTAAGCAAGCATGTGACAAGTCTATAGGTAATAAAACATCATGCACTGCAGGACATGAGCAATGTGTGATAAGACCTGCAGCTCATTTAGCAATGATATTTGGGAAAAATAATGCACCAGTGGAGATAGGTGGACATGGATAGGACATGGGAGGATGGATTCCTAGGACCGGACTGAAGCTAAATGGGAGCATGGGTCACAGGAGGAGTGCACACCCATTGTCAAGGAGCGCACTAAAAGCAGATGAGTCGATATATATAGATTTAATGATCAGCACTTTATCTCCTTTCCTGGGAGTGAGAAGAACCATGCTAGTGATCATACATGCCTAGCGCCGGTATGATTGTCACACCAGGAACTCCTGAGCCTCCAGAACTCAATTGGAAATGGAAGAGGAATGCATCACAAATTTGGTTGTTTACATGATGTGGGTATGTTAATGAAAATTCAGAAGTTTACATGTGATTTGACTACTATCAAACATTCAGTACTTTACATTTGAATCTGATCTTCAAACTGATTGATCAGTGAATCTACTACCTTGAGCATTTCAATGCTCATCTGTTGGGCTCTTTGCAACCTCTGGAGGTCCACATCAGCTCTTCTGAGTTTGTCAGAAGTTTCTGCCCAAGCCATCCAGAAGGGTCGCTTGGCCTTGAGTAGCAGTGGAATGGAAGGATCAGGAAGATCCCCAGTATGGTGTTTGTAATCACCAAGTCAATCTTGAACAGATTGCACTTGCAGAAAAATTAGCACAAAGATAAATGATCTGCTTTGTCAGATACTCACACCTGGTGTGTTCATATGACCTGAATGGTCAGAACTCCCAGGCCATCGAACATAAATCTTCATTAGTGAACTCTGGCTGCTCTGAATGAAGTTTATTAGAGGTGTCATCCACTTGGGAGATACAATAAGTATCTATAATTCTCTGGAATGAATGGACTCACATGACATAGATGCTTCTGATGCAGCCAGAACATCAATCTTAGGATTGGCAGAATCCAGCAACTCATCCACATCAATGATATCATCCTCAGGCCCGAGGTACAAGTCTGGATTGATGAGAAAACCTGGATGATCAGCTTGAGCCAGAGCTGATTGATCTGCAAGGGTTTAGTGAGCATGCATGGTGATCCTTGATCCTAATGAATGGATAAACTCACCAGGTATTGCAGCCAAGACATCTGGTGATCCAGATGACGGAGAATCATATTCTATGTCATCATCCAGCCCTAGGTATAGATCATCTAAGGGATACCCAGTAAATAGATAAGGCATGATAAAAATATGACACACCTAGTGATGCCTGGGACACAGTGGACTCATCCACATCCATTGAATTGAATGGCTGACTGCAGACTCATGTTGTGTGGGGAACTTAATGATTTGTTGACTGATAATTGAAAAAACTTTGAAGTTCAACACAAAACTGGCGATTGCTGGAAGTTGAACTGGGACCAAACAAAGACAAACAATCAATGATTTTATCAATTGTCCATCAAATGTCTTGTTTCTTTTGAAACTTCATCCTTGTGATAACAGATTTCAACCCAATTTCAAGATCTTTAAATCTCTCAACTCAATCATCATGTCCACTCCAGTTGACAACTCTTTGACCAGTCTCAAGGCATTGACTGCCCAGATCACGGCCATCACCAGCAGTGCCCAGCAGATTCCCCTGGGTAACAGCCACTTTTCTCTGACAATACAGGTCAGTTCACTTGTGGTATGTAGCTTTCTTTTTTTCTTCTTTTTTTCTCTCTAACATCCAGGCAGGCTCAAGTGATCAAGGACTATCAGACTGGACCCCTGCCTGGCATCATGCTTTCATGCTCCAAGGAGCTATTGCATGTCCAGGGCATGACTCCCCAGATCTGGCCCAACTGGCATAACATTGGGTATAATGATCCCTGTCTCTTGCAGCATGTCTGGTGCCCCAAGCTCCTTGCCTGGGAGGCCTTAGGTGACCATACCTTTGATCTCCCAGTTGCTGCTCCTCCCTCCACAGGTCTGATTCCAGTGGACCTTCCCTCCCCACCCATCTGTGCTGGCAATGTTGCTGGTCCCTCCACCAGCACCACCACTGAGTTCCAGGACAAGGGGAAAGGTAAGGCTGTCAATGCTGACCCAGAGCTTGAGGTAGAAGGGAGTTGGAAGAGGAAGTCTCCCATGATTTTGGGACTCTCCTCCCAACCACTGAAGTCTGTGATGAAGACTCGCAAGCATGCAAAGTCCTCTTGCTGGGTGATGTCCAAGCCCCTAGTGGACTTGGAAGATGAGGAAGACATGAGTATTCAGGTATGTTGTCTGGTTAGTCTTTGACTTGGCTCACATTTTCTTATAGCCATTTTTGGGTGGAGTGCTGGACATCATCCTTCCCTGGCTCTCTAATTCACCTAGATCACCCTGGGTGTTACAATCATGTATGCCCCTATTCATTTTCTCTCTCTTTACCTTGTATTATGTCACGAGCTGCATGGTGCCACTGCTAGGCTTATCTCTGACTCATATCTTGTATTACATCACAATCACTATTGCCATCACTAGATGATCTATTCTTGTTATCGCTGATACATCCTTTCTTATCTCTGACTCATCATCAATCCCACACCTGCCCTAAACCACCTATGTTCACTATATATAGTTGACAATGTATCTTGTAGTTCTTCACTTTAATCTTACTAGGTTTTACCTGAAACATCCTTCACTTGAGACCTCCAATCTCCTGTTGTCTGAATCATACTTTAAGTTAGAAGCACTCCTTCTGACTTAGCTTACACCAAATGCTTGACTTATCGTCTTGCATAGAATCTTGGCAGAGGTCTTGACTCTTATTGAGTTGTCTGTCATTAGAACTATCCTAGTTTGTAACACCAGGCTCCAACCAAAAGGCCCTTTGGCCCTGCTACAGTAAGTCACATTTATGCATCTGGGACTCAGGTGTATGCTCACAATGTACCAGGTGATTGCTGGCAGTCACCTAGCGGTCATCAAGCCCTCCTAGCCAACTTCTAAAAGCCTGGTGGAGGCACCCCCAGTCATCAATGGAGGTGATATTCTCATTCCCAGACCAGTGAGTACTTTGATTTGTTTGAAAGTGTCCATTCACTAACACAACCCACAGAATAACCCATGCCAGGTTTGCACCAAGCTAAAGTGGGACTGTGCAACTTGGTTGGACAAGAGGACTAGGAATCTGTGTATGTTGTGCATCTGCTGCATAACAAAGAAGGTCAAGTGCATCCCCACGACTATGGGTACCCTACCAAAACATGTTTGTGGGTCCTCTACCACCCAGAACACAAGGTCCAGGATGCCCTCCAAGGCTCCCTCCAAAGCTCTCCCTGCCTCCCAATCCAAGGCCCAGACTCATAGTCAGTCTCATGGCAAGTCCAGAACTCTGGGTGTCACAGCTGTGACAACTCCCAAGACCCAGATGCATGGTCACAGCAAGACTATCACTGCTGTCAAGGCACCCGCACCTGCACCAGCTTGTAAGTCACCTGAGTTTTTTTTCATCACCATCTGACCTTAATTTTCCCTTGTAGCACTTCTGTCTTTGAGTTTGGCAGTCCCTGCTGCAGCACCCAGTGTGACAATCATGTTCAGGCTGGCCTGCTAGGACCCCATTCTGCAATCCCCATCCAGTCTGCATATCTCCTACCCATCTCCAATGCTTTCCTGCCATCTCTGCATCTCTGATGCATTGGACCCACTCGGAGATCCTGCACACTTGTCCTACCATGTCCAGTCCAGTCCTGCTTAACCCCACTGGTGCATAGTCAGTTATTTCCCATTACTGATTGAGTAGACAGTGTTATTACATGGATTCCCACTGGCCACAGTACCTCATGGCCTTTTACCTACATATCATCAGACCCATGTTTTTGCTACTGCTTTTGCCTATGGACTCCAGATTTTCACATAGCTAGTTATATAGGGTTGGGCAACCAGAATTACAATCACCACTTAGTAGGAGGGAGAAATCCCTGATACTGGTCACCCCATACCTGTCCTTAGAGTTACCCTTGCCAATATACCTGTTTACCCACTCTCCTTGACCCGACACAAGTGTCACTCATTCACTTGACCCTCCCTAACATCTCCAAGCTAGTCCTGACACTTTTCCTTACTCTCCTGCCATCTCTGCATCTCCACACCTGTGGACCCAATTTCCCATGCATTGGACTTCGTCCCATACCTTTGGACTTGACCTCTGACCTTCGGACTTTTGACCCTTTGCATAGTACTGATTATTGAACTTGACTAGACAGTAGATCCCTTGGGTCAAACGTTCTTGCTTGCAAGTGTAGCAGCTAGGCAGGACTAGTAGGCATATATTGGCTAGGTATTCTAATAAATATTCTAGCCAAGTTGTGTTATCCACACTGGTCTGGCAGTCCCTGCTGCAGCACTCAACCTGCCCATGCTGGATCTCCATGCCATGGCTGTTACAGTGCCCCACTCTTTTTCCCATCATCACTATGGATGCCTTATGGCTGTACTTCTAACACTTTCTCTTCACTGTGCTGTTTCCTCATGGTCCCCTTTATCTCTGACTCATACTTTGTTTTCCCATGAACCTTCCTTTCTTAGTAGTCATTACCCTTCACCCAGCTTGGTCTGTGCACAATTCTCTTACATATATAAAGCCTTAGTTACTGCTTGTATTTTCTCTAACTTGAATCTACTTGGTTCTCTTTCATACTTGAACTCTAGCTCCTTGGGAAGGAGGCTGGCCATTTGTCCCATTTGAACTCTAGATCCTGTGGGAGTCTAGATGATTGCTCCTGAGGGAGGCACTACTCAATAAGGCTTAGCCCTTGATTGACTTTGATCCTTGATTCCTTTATTGGAACAACACTCTATCCAAGTTCATAACAATGGCAATTGCAATTCAGGATGGCGCAGCTTGCATTGCCATTCTTGAGGCTCATGTGGTGGAGCAGGATGGTAAGATTGATACCTGTCATATCCTGTATGCCAGACATAGATCCCATCATATTCCCACGCTTTCCAGACCTATTTCTGGACCCCATATCCGACTCATTCCTGGATCCCCTATCCTGTCCACCCTATGCACATTCCGTCCAGCAAGACATCTGGACTTTACCTCCTCTCGGATTCCAGACTACATCCACCACCTCACATATCTCAGTCCTGTTTCTGCCCTGCCTTCCGGATCCCCAGATCTCTGGACCTATTCCCACCCTCCATCTGAGATCCTGCACCTATCCCCATTTAGGCATCTCCTCCTTTCTGGTTCTTGGTTATCTCTGTTTCCGTCTTGCTGATTGATCCTTGTACTAGTTTCATCTCCAAGTTCATTTACATATGTTCCATCTTACTTACCAATGTGTTTCCACATGCTCATACATAGCCTTACTCCTTTGCTTACTGATCCTCTCAGATAGCCTCTAGTATATAACCCCTGTACAACTACAGTAGAGTCCTCAGTCTGAATATCATCTTAGATCCTGTCCTACTTGCCAATCATCTTCCAGACTTCAGTCTGTCTGAGTCTTGTCCTTTTCCATAAGGCCTAGGGATGGACTCCCTAGGCTGGAATTCCGGACCTCCGGATTTGTCCCCTATGTCTCTGTCCCAAGTCTAGGGATTGCTTCCCTAGGCTAGAGTCTTGCCTTTCCAGCACTTACCCTCTTTCTGGACTTAGGTCCACTTCCTGTCCCTCCAACTCTACCTTAGGGTAGTCTACCTCTGTTTGCTTCTACATCGGACTTCATCCGATGTAGCCCCTATTCCTTCCGGACCTCCGGACCTCCTGTCCTCTGTACCTCTGGACATCCTGTCCTTTGGACATTCTGCCCTCTGTACCTTTGGACATTCCATCCTCCATACCTCCATGTCCATCCTCCATACCTCCGGACCTCCTGTCCTCCGTACTCTGGACCTCCGGACATCCTGTCTTCCTGTCCTCTGGACCTCCTATCCTTCCATCCTGTTTTCCTGTAGAAGTATTACCTTGCAGCAGGAACTCTCCTGAGCATTTCCTGCATTCCTCCAGAACTCTCCCATACTCCTCCGGAAGTCCTCCCGCACTCTCCACCAGAGTAGCCAGCCTCCGGAAGTCCTCCAGACTTCGTCGGACCATCATTGGACTTCCTCTGAAATGAAGGGCACATACTCGGGTAAGGGGCACAGCGTACAAGCTGAGGCCAAGCCCCTCTGAGTCAGTCTCTCTCTCCTTTGAGCATGGTTCTTAACAATACCCTGCAATGCCTCCATAAAGGCCTTAGGCACGAAATCATCGACTGGCACCCCACATTCCCACTTCCTGAACCTCTGGCCAATGCAACATCCTTGTTGCTTGATCAATCCATCCCCCCATCCATGTCACCATCTGCATCTGCACTCCCTCCTCTCATTGATCTCTCAATTGGAAAGATGACACCCACACCCCCAAAATTTGAGGATACCTCTGCCATTGAGGGCCTCCTGTTTGAGTACAACTGGGTTGTTCAACCAGAGGTTCCAGATATGTCCAGCAAAATTGTGGACCCAGGTGATCCAGGCAACCTGGTCCCACAATATGATTCTTCCAATGACATGGATGTTGAGGTGAAGGTTGAAGCGTCTTCTGAGGATGTTGACATGGCTACATAATTGCATAGTGATAGACATATATACAAGTTTTTCAATGAATGTTACCTCTGCCAGTCCATTTATTCAATCACTGAGTCTCAAAAAACCAAGTACTGAAACCCAAAAGTTAGAAACAAACATCAAAACTCGAAATGGTGATTTGAGCCTCAAAACTTGACACTTGAAATTCAGATATTGGTACAACTTTTGAGTTTCAGGTGTTGGGTTTCAATGTTCAGGACTTGGGACTCAGTGATTCAAGTCTTGAAACTTGAAACTTGAAACTTGAAATTCAGATATTGGTATGACTTTCAAGTATTGAATCACTGAGTCCCAAAGTCCAAGTACTAACACAACTTTGGGTGTCAGCATTTGGTATTCTGGACTCAGTGATTCAAGACTGGAAACTTGACAGTCATCAAAATGTTTGAGTTTTGAGTTTTGAGTTTTGATGTTGGTATTTCGAAGTTTCGGGTTTCAATGTTTGGATTTCAGGACTTGGTACTTGCTGTGTTGACTTTGATCAACATTGACAGGATCTGAGTCTGAATGTCATTGATGACTCAGATCAAAACTAGTGCAACAGCATTGCTCATATGTCCATATAGTATACCAATACCTCAGCCCATACATCTAAATGATATGTATCTGGGCCCACCTGTTTATATGACATCCCCCTCCATTGGCCCACCCATCTATCTAATATACCCTATGCCAGCCCACCTGTATATATAATACATATTTCCCTGCCCCATCAGCCCACCTGTCTATCTAATATACCCCCACCTCAGCCCACCTATCTATATAATAATATCTACCATACATCTCTCTTCAGCCCAGCTGTCTATAATATATGCCTATCCTACTCTACATATTGCCCAGATGGGCCCACCCATCTCCATCAGTAATAATATTTCTTCCAGCCCATCCACCATCATTGAGGATATACATAACATTGGCCCATAGTCCACTGGCCTGTCTTATATGGGATATTATGTAGGTCGGGTGACCCATATAATACAGAGTTTGTCACTGAAGGGGCTCAAACTTCAACATTTGTTTGGCCTTGTATTAATATATCCATTAATGGAAGTTCCTTTCATCATCAGACATGTCATTGAAATCACATTTGAAGTCCATACACAGTCAACAAAACCATGTAGTTCAATAGAAGCCTGTACTAATGCAAGCTAATTTCGATGATAGAGCAGTGAGGACGCCTCATTTGCCCTTCCAGCCTGACTGCATTACAACAACAGCTTCATCTCCACCCTCTGCAGTTGTCTTGCCTTTGTGCTGTGCCTTTAGTTTTGCATGTGCTTTAGTTGGAGCAGGAAGCTCAGATTCAGCAAGATTCTGATGCCTAAGATTGAGCTCTTCCATTGCAGTGGTGATAGATTCTGAACTTCAAGCCATATTGATGACAGGAGGAGCTGCAACAGGGGGAGCTGCAACAGCTTGAGGGGGAGCCAAAATTGAGGGAGCCGGAATTGAGGGAGCTGAAGTATGGTGAGACACAAGTAGTAGCTCATTGACTTGGACACTACCACTATTAGTATTGTCATTAGCATGCCATGGCAGGATTGGTGGTGTGCTGTCATCAACAACCAGTTCTTCTAGTTCATCTTCTATTGCACAGTCGAAGTCTTCTTCCCATGTGTGACCCAGTCCATCATCATTGAGAGCAGTAGAAGGGGGAACATAAGATGAAGTTCCTGAGAAAAGAGCATCATTGAAGAATGTGATGACCTGGTGTGCCCAGGCACCTCCAGTCAGTAAATGCTGATGGTAGAAGTTGTGGTATTCGCAGTACGGAATCTTCATAGTGTCACCAATTTCAGTGAGTTCTGCATTACCAGAGAGTAGGAATATTGCCTTGTATGAGAATAAGTCATGACTCTAACAACCACACAAAACTGATTTGGACTCACCACAACAGCAGCAGCAATCATACCTGGTGTTATAGCTCACAATTTCCAGATCTTGGCTTTTGTCCTAGAAGATGCAGCACCTGTAGGTGCCAATGACAACTTGCCAAAGAGTGATACTTTCAAGACCTATAATCATATATGAGTGTGTTAGCCCATATTGAAGTATCAAGCAAAAAGAGATGTACATGCATGAGCTTTGCAGTTTTCAACAACTGATGTGGTACTGGATTATCAGGTCTAGGAAAAAGCACAGGTGTGAACTTTGTGTACTCTCCATGGGGACTCAGTAGAAGGGGGCAACAGTTAGGGTCTTCATTTTGTTTGTAGCCTCATATGAAGATGCTCGCATTGAGACCAAAGATTGCACTTGTGCATGACTTGATGTCAGATGCCATTTTGGAACAAGTGTTGCTGACGCCCCTACCAAACTATTGCATTGATTGTCATTAAATGATTGGAATGTAAGAATAGATAGGCATACCTGAGATCTGAAGTTTTGATAGCTCACCAATTCATGTTCTTCTTCAGGAATGAACTTGAAGAGCTTGGCCCTCACACCATCCTCCATCAAGACTCCTGTAAGCCAATGCTCCTTGCTATTGAGGTTGATGTCTGGACATATGTGAGCTGACAGTGGGAAAAGTTTGATGTTGATCCAAAGGCAGTGGGTTATCGAGTATTTCCTCCCAAGAGCTCATATGGTGTCTACCTTGGCCACCATTGCAAGATCATTTGAAGTAAGGTTATGATGCTTGTGGCTTTTAGGTACTGCAACCTCAAGGAGCACATTCTTCTTTATAGCCTCACAGCATTTACCATACAAGTCGAGCAATAGTCTCTGCAAGATCTTGAGGGCCTAGTAGTAATGATCTGTAATAAGAAATGTGAACTTTCTAGCAATACAATGACTTACCTTGCACAGCTCTTGAGATGTTGCATCTGGAGGTGCAGGAGCAAGCACAGCACAGACCTAGATGAGCTCTGTGTCTGAGTCATCTGAATCTGAATCTGATGAGAACTCTGGATCAGTGCCCAAGCTTGACTCTATAGTTGCTGCATGATGGTGTGCTGATGGCATGATGGCAGACCACTTCAAGTTGAACTCAGGATAGAGCTGGGAGACTAGGATTATTAGTGTCAGTAATCCATTGTGTTTATATCAGTCAAAATTCGCTTACTGCTGATACAAACATTCAGGCCTTCAGGATACCACATGTTGCAATATGTACAAAACCTGAACACAAGTGATATTAGCTGTGGCATTAGAATGGACCTACCACTCAATGGGGACACACCATGTAATACAAAGCATGCAATGTCAACAGGGCATTCTTATTATGTTGAAGATGGTAATACAATTGGAGTTTGGTCAATATATGGGTCATGGAGGCGAACAAAAAACAGAATTTAAGGCACAATAATAGAGTTCTAGGGTATAGTAAGATGAGAAAGCTGTTTGATAGAGGCGAAGGTGAAATGGATGATACAGATGGGACAGGAGAGCACTGTGTGATAGAGGTGAAGGTGAAATGGATGATACAGGTGAGATATGAAGAGTGCTGCTCATATCTTGGCTTGTTATTGCAAGAGTTATAAATGTAAATGTTGGACATACCATTAGTTAGAACATATATCTCTGTGAACAAAGGAACATCTTGGAGTCCACATAATCAACTAGAAAAAAGTCTCCCCTCATACTAGTGAAGTCTGGAACAAGTAATGCACCACAAATAACTGAGTGAAGCGTGATAAACTCCATCAAAGCGAGTGGTTGGGCACAAAGACATCTCAGTCACAAATCTCGATCTACAGCATGTTGTGGACTTGTTGGAGCATCCATAGGTTGAACTAGGGCAAGATCCAATGTTTGACTGCCAATTGATTGCTTGAACATGAATAAAATGCAAATGAAAATGTTCTTATTATTTCCATCTTTGTCCTGGGTGTGAACAAGGGCACAGTCACATCATTCATGGCCATGAAAGCTCGGGTTGCAGCGCAGGTGGTCGGTAGTAAGCTTCCAGTCCACAACAGACTCATAATTGACTTTGAGATATTGGTGTTCTTGAACCTGGAGACATGTTTGTGAAGAACAGTGACTTGTGGGAGTGAAATATGGAACTACTGACTGTATCTTGTGCTGAAAGCGTCAGCCATGTTTTGCCATTGGGTAATGGTATATTGTATGCAGGATTAAGGAAGGTCAAGAGCTTTTTGCAGAACTGCCCAAAGGCACAGTTGGACACATTGTTGTTTTCAAGCTGTGCAAAAGTTATTGTGGACTGAGGAGCACCAAGGTGAATATGTCTGCCAAAAGACCAATCATCCAGGTCCTCTGTCTCAAGCTCTCTCTCCAAAAGTATGACCTTGCATTGTTCATCATTGAAATGGTTGATGTGGTTGCAGAGGACTACAGAGATGAAGGTTGTGTGGTCAAGCCTGAGTATCTAGATAGCAGGGGTTGTCAATGAGTCAATTAATGTGAAGTGTGGTCAAATGTACCTGGTTTGCAATATCTTTGCCATTTGTTTGCAGTTTATAGGCCCTCTTGATTGGCCCAAGATGCTTCTCATTTGGCCACATACTAAAGTTTTGTGCAGCTCCTTTTGCCCTAATGTCAGAAAATATGTGCCTCATTGAGTGTGCCTTTGGAAAATTCCAGTTTTTTGTCACTTCATCACCAAGAATTTTGATATATTGCTGTTTGAAGTACAGTGGCTCAAAAAACTGTCCACATGTTTTTGCATTTTTCACTATTTACAATATTGTGTGAGAATACATAAAGACCTCAGTGACATGCTGATACCATATTGTGGTGCTGCTTCAGGGCTTTGGATTGAGCACCACATCATGAGAATCAGAGGAGATATGGTGGAGATACAAGGCTTACAAAATCATGACTCATGCAGACAGTTTTTTGAGCACATATTAAAACTATATAAATCATCATTTATGACACCATAACAATCATGCCACCATTAAATAAATTATAAAGTGGTGTCATTATGTCATTTTAAAACCATATCTAACTATACAAACCAAAAATTTCCATATGTCATGGTTATATTCACCATGAAAGCCACTCCCCCTGCTCAAAGGGATAATATCCTCTCTCTTTCCTATTCTGGCCTCTCTGCTTGTCAAATTTCCTCTAGAACTGGAGTATCCAAGTCCACTGTGGCCAAGTTCATCAAAGAAAGTCACACAGACAAGGAAAACTTCTGTGAAGGGCGTCCATCCAAGCTCACCTCTACTGATAGGAGGGCTATTATTCAACATATCACTACAGGAAAGGCTGATAATGCTGTCCAGGTCACCTATTACATCAATTCCACCATCACATTCCCTGTCTCTTCACACACTGTGAGAAACATTCTCAAGACAGCTCATCTCAGGTCAGTAATAAGGAAGAAAAGGCTTTCCTCTCTATCACACATAAACAGAGATGACTAACCTTTGCCTTAGCCCATCAGAATTGGATTACATGGACTGGAAGCATGTTATATGATCATGTAAGACCACAATAAATAGGATTGGGTCAGATGGCAAGGTATATATGTGAAAAAAGAAGGATGCTAGTCCTCTCTGCATATGTGTGATAGAGAGGAAAGCCTTTTCTTCCTTATTACTGACCTGAGATGAGCTGTCTTGAGAATGTTTCTCACAGTGTGTGAAGAGACAGGGAATGTGATGGTGGAATTGATGTAATAGGTGACCTGGACAGCATTATCAGCCTTTCCTGTAGTGATATGTTGAATAATAGCCCTCCTATCAGTAGAGGTGAGCTTGGATGGACGCCCTTCACAGAAGTTTTCCTTGTCTGTGTGACTTTCTTTGATGAACTTGGCCACAGTGGACTTGGATACTCCAGTTCTAGAGGAAATTTGACAAGCAGAGAGGCCAGAATAGGAAAGAGAGAGGATATTATCCCTTTGAGCAGGGGGAGTGGCTTTCATGGTGAATATAACCATGACATATGGAAATTTTTGGTTTGTATAGTTAGATATGGTTTTAAAATGACATAATGACACCACTTTATAATTTATTTAATGGTGGCATGATTGTTATGGTGTCATAAATGATGATTTATATAGTTTTAATATGTGCTCAAAAAACTGTCTGCATGAGTCATGATTTTGTAAGCCTTGTATCTCCACCATATCTCCTCTGATTCTCATGATGTGGTGCTCAATCCAAAGCCCTGAAGCAGCACCACAATATGGTATCAGCATGTCACTGAGGTCTTTATGTATTCTCACGCAATATTGTAAATAGTAAAAAATGCAAAAACTGTCCGCATATTTTGACATTTTTCACTATCTATGATATTGTGTGAGAATGAACAAATGCCTCAAGGACATGCTTATACCACATTGTAGTATGGCTTCAGGGCTTTCATTTGAGCCCTACACCGTGGGAATCAGTGGAGATATGGTGGAGACATAAGGCTTATAAAATGATGACTCATGTGGACAATTTTTTGAGTGTATATTAAAACTATATAAATCATTATTTATGACACCACAAAAATCATGCCACTATTATATAAATTATGAAGTGGTGTCATTATGTTATTTTATGACTATATCTAACTATATAAACCAGAATATCTCATGTATCATAGTCATAATCACCATGAAAGCCATCTCCTCTGCTCAAAGAGATAATATCCTCTCTCTGTCTTATGCTGGCCTCTCTGCTTGCCAAATTTCCTCTAGAACTGGAGTATCCAAGTCCACTGTGGCCAAGTTTATCAAAGAAAGCCACCCAGACAAGGAAAACTCTTGTGGAGGACGTCCATCCAAGCTTACCTCTACTAACAAAAGGGCTATTATCCAACATATCACTACAGGAAAGGCTGATAATGCTGTCCAAGCCACCCATTATATCAATTCCACCATTACTACCCCTGTCTCTTCACAAACTGTGAGGAATGTTCTCAAGGCAGCTCATCTCAAGGCAGTAACAAAGAAGAAAAAGCCTCTTCTCTCCATCAAACATAGGCAGAGAAGACTAGCCTTTGCCTTAGCTCATCAACACTGGACTGTAGAGGACTGGAAGCATGTTATATGGTCAGATGAGACCAAAATCAATAGGATTGGGTCAGATGGGAAGGTATATGTATGGAAAAAGAAGGGAGATGGCCTAACAGACAGAGAGGTTAATGGGACTGTCAAGTTTGGAGGAGGTTCTTTAATGGTATGGGGCTGTATGGGATGGAATGCTGTGGGAATGCTTGCTGAGGTTGAGGGGAAGATGAATGCTGAGCAGTATGTGGACATTTTAAATGACCACTTGCTGCCTAGCTTGGCAGAATCAGGGATTGATAAAAAAGATATCATTTTCCAACAGGATAATGATCCCAAGCACACATCCAGAAGAGCTAAGGAATGGTTTGAAGAACATAACATCAATGTTCTTGACTGGCCAGCACAGTCTCCTGATGTCAATGTCATTGAACATCTCTGGGAAACACTCAAGAAAAAGCTTCAAGCCTATGAAAACCCCCCTAAAGGAGTATGGGAGCTTTGGGAGAGAGTAGCAGTGGAATGGGGGAAGATCACAGCTGAGGATTGCCAGAAATTAATTGAGAGTATGCCTAGAAGGATAGAGGCAGTAATTAAAGCCAAGGGAGGTCATACAAAATACTAGAATACCTGGTTATTATTGTAAAATGCTTGAGTCAAAAAACTGTCCACATGAGTCACCATTTTGTGAGCCTTGTATCTCCACCATATCTCCACCGATTCCCACGGCGTAGGGCTCAAATGAAAGCCCTGAAGCCATACTACAATGTGGTATAAGCATGTCCTTGAGGCATTTGTTCATTCTCACACAATATCATAGATAGTGAAAAATGTCAAAACATGCAGACAGTTTTTTGAGCCACTGTATATGCAAATGTGACATTATGCTATTGCTCTTACAGGAGTCAGTTGGCTGGATGCCCTCGTCCATGCAGCTGACATGTTGTTGTGAGTTTTGAAAGTAAAGTTTGTGTGACCATCCACAACTCTCCAGATAAACTTCAGCAAACTCAAAGTCTGCATGACAGCTGAAAGGCTGCCATAGCTCATCATTGATGATGGGTGATTGTGTCATCTCCAGCTTCTTAGTCCTGTAAACAGAAAAGCCCTTGATGATCAGAGCATGACCACTGTGAGGGTGATATTCGGTCTTGAATGTGTCAAGACGATCTGAGGTAGTTGCTGTGGCTACCAAAATTGGAGTGGGAATGTTATTACCCATGCTGATATCAGAATCAGAACCTGGATCAAGTTTAGATATAGTCAAAACAAAACAGAAAGAATATTACATACATAGCTGCACATCTCCCCCAACACTCTGCACATCATTGAGGCCTTCAAGGCCTGCATCATCATAATGGTAATGTGAATCTGCTGTAGATGGAGAATCAGCTGCTGAACCAGCCTCTTGAATGACTAGCATGGTATCTCAGGCAGCCTCATGAGTGCACCCTTTATTGCTGCAATGTTCTGATGAATCAAAGTTGATGATTTTGAATATAATCAGTGATTGAAGGTAATTTAGATGACATTGAAACATAGTATGTTTTCCTTCCTTCAAAATTGACCTGGCTGCAGCCCATGAACACTCTCTATCCTCTTTCTTCTTTTCCTTCCATCACAAGCAGCTTTGCTCGTGTGATTTGAGGCCTTGGGATATGTACAGTTCATTACAGTACTGACAAGCAACCTTAAGAGATGATGCCAAAGAGCAGGTATATTTGCACCCTCTTGTGGATCTTTGGGGAGCCATTGATGGTAAATAGAAACAGTATAGACAGATGAAACAAGCAAAGGTATCATTCAGGAAGAAATCATCGATGGATGGAAGATAGGTGGTAAGAGATTGAAATCTGACCTTGATAGTGTAAGCTGCTTGCAAGACCCAGTCATTTCCCTGGCAAGTTACCAAAAGAAGGTCACTTTCCTTCCAATATGCTATGAATAGGTCACTTCACTTTCAATATGCTAACAATAGGTCACACTTCTTCCATCATGGATGCAATACAGTTAAATGACGTCTCAATTTAGAAGCCTTGCAAGGCACCTATGGGAATTTCTGACATGGGAACATCTTCAAAGTATTGCCAAGGGTGATATGTTCTGCATATATTACCATGTAATGGTATATAAGACGATATAAATTTCTTACTAGTCCTCTGACAATGCCAGATGCAGCCAGAAAACAATGTCAACACTTCCCAAGTGCAAGGGAATGCTTCTCCAGAGGTAAAATGTGCATTGCTAAACCATCTGGTGCAGCTAAGGCACGTCTTGCATTCGACTAGCAAGCCCTTCAGAGGTTTCAAGGCCAAATTCATGTCCCAGTTACAACTGGCAGAGGCATCTGTATTGCCAAAGGCAGAGGAGCCAGACAAACTTGAAGGACGTACTGTCCTCCAGGTGATTGTAGATGAAGGTGCCTGAATTTCTGATATACACTTTGCTCATCGACATATTATGAGTGCCCTTAGACATGTTTAATGAAGTGGGAACCATGCACGGTGGTTGTCTAGCCATGATAATTGATATGCATGTTTCTTCTACTCATGCTTGTCTGTAGCTAATATGGATGTGCAGCTGTTCCCCAATGCCCATTTATGTTCTTAGGGCTTCAACAGGCATTTATGGCATATTTGGTGTACAGCAGTCTTTGAATATTGTGTTCCATCCACCAGCAGTGCTGTATGTTCAAATGGCACATTAATTATTTTTTACTGAACCATTGTGTGAGGGGCAACCAGCTACGCGTCATGAGCACAACGCTTACCCTTGGTAGCTGGGCACGCTCGGGTCATTGTGAAGTGAGATTCTGACAAGCTCTCTTGTTGCATTATCAGCTTATGCTTGGCTTCAACAGGTGTGGAATGTAATGCGAAGCCGATTAGTCGCATCAGCTGTATACACCAACATGGTTCCATCTGAGCCATCTAAACTTTGACTTACGTGCTTGGATTTCTTTTTATACATACTACAATTTTAACTGCTTGAAAAGTTTTCATGTACACAATGTAGTTATCCGCAGGACGTGATATTTGACGGGTATCCAGAGAAAATAGCCCAAACGTATACGAGGGTCATCATGATATATGTAGCGCAAATGAATGTTTGAAGATCGAGTCCACGATCTCGAATGATAAGCAGTCCAAATGAATTCATCTCTTCCAAGTGTTTATATCGGGGGTCATGAAAGGACCAGCCTGGATTGTTCCCGCACCAATAGATCTCAATATGTCCATCCGCCTGTCCTCCCATGCCTTGAGTGCTTTGAGAAGCTGTAATATTTTATCGTGTTTCCCTCGTCGGACGTCGTTAATGCTTACGCTGCCCATTTTTACGTCGTTGTCGAGAAGGAAGTCAAACAGGCGGAATAGCCCGTCCAGCTTGTCGTCGTCAGGGCCAGACGGGAATGCCGAGTCCGGCACGGGGGGTGAGGGTGATTTCCCTAAAACTGATTCCGAGAGACGAAGAAGAGCAAAACCACTGAAAAGATGGCCAGTGAGATCATAATTTTGTAACGCAGCTGGTAAGTGTGAATTGGCCCACTCAACCAGATCCGCGTCAGAAGGATTCAGCTGTACAAGGTTCATAAAATCAGTATCACGCCGCACGGAGAAGGCAGTGGACAAACCGCGGGAGT